CACAGCTCTGGCCATTGTGGCCAACTGGGGAGTGAGCCAGCAGATGGAAGATTCTCTCTCTCTCTCTCTCTCTGCCTCTCCTCTTTCTGTGTAACTCTGACTTTCAAATAAACAATACACATCTTTTTTAAAAAATGCCATGAAAATTAAGAAAGGTGTGTGTTATGGTACATTGGGTTAGGCCACTGGTTGGGACATTTGCATCCCATGTGAGTGCCTGGATTTGACTGCTTCATGCTTCCGATCCAGCTTCCTGCTAATGTGCCTGAGAGGCAGTGGATGAGGGCTACACCCACACGAAAGTCATGGATGGAGTTATGGGCTCCTGGTTTCAGCCTGGTACAGCCCTAGATGTGGTTGGCATTTCTCTCTCACCCTCTCTGCTGCTCTGCCTTTCAAACAAATAAATACATTTTTTTTTTTAATATTAAGAGGCATGTACAATCTGTGCTACAGTTTTAAAGGATTAGACTCAACAGCCAAAATAACTATCAAAAATCTCTAAGCACATACTCTCAATTTCTGGACTTATTTCCTGGTTGATTAGAAGCCTAGCATCCATGCCATACCTTGAGTCATACAGATTTAAAGGATAAAAAAGCATTTCATGAAATGAAGCCTCATGGATTATCTGATTGATTGCAGTTCAATAGATGAGTTCCCCTGGTCCAATCAGCTACAAGGTAGGCGTGGTCACACGGTATAAAAAGAGCCTGCTAGCAGTCTTTAGTTGGGGGCACTTCCCAGAGAACATGGCAGTAGACCCAGGCACGCAACCTTGCTGTTTGAATGCAGTGCACAGCACCTTCAGTGATCCAAACATTGCTGAATTCCTCCCAGCTCTGGCGACTGGAGGCCTAGTTTAATGTCCTGAGGAGTGCATGTTGCACAACACAGAGAAGTCATCGATTTTAATGCAAAGGTGCCCAAAGTGAATTCTCTGCCCTCCAGAAGCTCTGGGTCTGCATATTTCTCACGAATTCACGTTTTTCTGTCTAGTCAAAGGTGAGAAAAATGTTTTTATTTCCTAGTCTCAAAACTCTACAGAAGAGTTTGGTGATGTGGTGTAGCAGGTTAAGTCACTGCCTGCAGTGCCGGCAACCCATATGGGCACTGGTTCAAGACCTGGTTGCTCCACTTCTGATCCAGCTCTCTGCTAGGGCCTGGGAAAGCAGTAAAAGATGGCCCAAGCCCTTGGGCCCCTGCACCCACATGAGAGACCCAGAAGAAACTCCTGGCTCCTGGCTTCAGATGGGCACAGCTCCAGCCATTGCAGCCAGTTGGGGAGTGAACCAATTCCAGCAGATGGAAGACCTCCCTCTCTCTCTCTCTGCCTCTCCTCTCTTTGTGTAACTCTGACTTTCAAATAGATAAATAAATCTTTTTTAAAAAAAACTCTACAGAAAAAAATGGTTATTTATAGGTAATGTTTTACTTTCAGCTCACCAAAATCTCCAAATTCCTTCTTTGCATAGCATCTGTTTCCCTGTACAGGGTTGTGTCCTCAACCGCAGCATCCCTAGTGCCCAGGACAAAGATGTGGTTCCCAATACATAACAGTTCTTTTAAGTTGCTGATGAAAAGCCTATAAAATGGAATTAAGAATGCCTACCTCACAGAATCCTAAACCATTACCTGATAGAAGTGACAGCATCTAGCACAACACCTAGGGCCCAATACGTGTGTGTGGATGCTGTTTAGGAATGGGATTGTCCCGCAGTTGTTTAGTTAAAATGAGAGACCTCCTGGTGAAGTTCATTTAGTGGCCATCATGGCCATGTATCACTCATGTTTAAAATCACGGATCAGGAAAAGGGATGTCGTGCTTGTCAGTGTTTTAAAAAAGCAGGCAAGTGATTGAGAACTTAGTTATTTCAACCAATTTTGTAAAAACAGATTTCTGGGTAAAGATTACAGAATAACCTGGAATCACAGAATCACCTCCCTCTGATACCAACTGAAATGAATAAAAGTTACATGCCACACAGTGTTATGTGAAACCCGAGCCCTATCTGATAAACCATAAAGTTTTATGAAAATCCAAATGGAAGAAAACACATTAATATGCATTCACCACTCCCCACCTCCCCACTATCAGCATATAACCCCATGGAAGGCTAGAAGTAGTCAATAAGTTGCCAACCAATATTTTAAAACTAGGTGTCCCAGAAAAAGTCTGACTTTCTATCTTTTCTAGGAAAATCAGCTGTGTCCCACGGGGCCCGTTCCTGTGGTCAGATGCTTTTAGTGTACACAGACCCTACATCTCCACCATCGTCGCTGGCCTAGATTCCACAAGCCTTGGTGGCTGCAGCCCCTGGTGGTTGATTCCTGCTTCGATAAGAGACTGAGGGTCAGGCATTAACTTGCCTGATGTCAAACAGTGCTGGTGGCTGGGTTTCCAACATAGACATTTCACATAAATTCTATTCTCTTCCACGTCCAACCAGTCAAAAAATAAGGTGAATGGGAAACCAAGCCCCCTCTCCTCAGTGCCTTTGATGCCGACTTAGCTTCCCTTCTATAGCTTCCAGTTCCTTTGTTCCTACTTTGAGGATTGCAAGTCCACTCCTCACAGCTTCACTCGCTAGAGTGAGGGAGTGGTGTGTGGGTCAGGCTGGCCTCCCAAGGCCCCAGGTCACCAGACTCAGAACGCAGCGCTCGCCTCTGCAGAGAACTTCCTAAGGTTGGATTTTCAGATGCCTCACAGGAACCCAACATTCTGATCAAACCAAGTGAGACCCCAGACGGACCATCAGAGCGTCTCAGCACGCACTCACTTCCTGTTCCTGGCCCGTCAAAGAGGGGGTCACAAGCTCAGTGGAGCAACCAGAGACCTGCACACAAGCTGATCGCGCACTGCTCTATCCCAGCTTACATCCCCGAGCTTCACACCCTGAGCCCCTCGGGGAGTCCAGGAATTGAGTGAGAGCTCCTGACTCCAAACTTGCGCATGCGTCTCATTTAATCCTCGAAGTTACTCTCGGAGGGAGGGGAAAGGAGCTCACGCTAGAGAGAAGACTGAGGCTTAGAGAAGCTAAATAACTTCCCAGAGACAATGGATACTGGCACCCGGCCTGATTCTAGGAACCAAATGTTTCTCAATATAAAATGCTGCCTCCCGAGGGAGGAGTGGAGCAGTGCCCAGGAAATAAACACTATGAAATGTCCTCTAACCTAGTTATCGTGGGGGAGGTGGCCAGTGACTCAGGCTAGAAGGTGGAATTCTCTTCCCATATTCCCTTGTAAACAGAGTCCCGAGGGTTAGAAGGGCTGGAAAGACACTGAAGATGACCAAAGGGCCACACTTAGGCTCATCAGATCACATGCAGTGTTTTTTTTTTTTTTTTTTAAAGATTTATTTATTTGAAAGGCAGATTACAGCAGGCAGAGGCAGAGAGAGAGAGAGAGAGAGTGAGTTCCATCCACTGGTTCATTCCCCAGTTGGCTGCAATAGCTGGAGCTGAGCCAATCTGAAGCCAGGAGCTTTTTCTGGGTCTCCCACATGGGTGCAGGAGCCCAAGCACTTGGACCATCTTCTACTGCTTTCCCAGGCCATGGCAGAGGCCTGGAAGTAGAGTAACCAGGATTTGAACCATATGGGATGCTGGCACTGCAGGTGACAGCTTTACCCACTATGCCACAGCAATGGCCCCATATGCAGTGTTTATGGACACTTGCCGTAAAACAGACCAAGTGCTGAAGGAGGGCATGGGAGTCGGCCACAGGCCTGCCTTACACAGGGGTGACGTGGTGAGAGGCCAGTTCCTGCCAGAAGTGTGGCGCCTTCACAGATGAAACTCAGAGCCCAGGAATACCTTTGTAGGAGGGATACCATGGGCACAAATGAAGCACACACAAAACACACTGATGTTGGCAGGAATGGGCACCACGCATGTTAGCCCTTGCCACGGGCTTCCAGAGGGCCAGGGACTGCCCCTGGGCTGGAGGCTGTGCGATGATCAGGAACCCAGTAGAACAATGTCCTCAAGCCAAAAGTGACCCCGTTGGTCACAAAGGAGTATGTGGCCCAGACTAGCCCATGGCTGGCAGTGTTAGGCAGATTCCCACTGTGTTGGAGCTTGGGAGAGCAGTGATAAACTTCCTTTGCCTGCAGATACAATCTGCCTTTTATTCCCACCAGTGCCACCCTCATGGAATTGAAATTCAGACTGTGGCTGTGGCTCTAGCATCCAGCTTTGAGTTCCTAGCCCGGTGGGAAGGTCATCGGTTCTCGCTCCTGTTTGAAGGACGGCCTGGGAAGTCTAAGTGACAGAGGACGTCCACTGTCCAGAGATGGGGAAGGGCCCGGGATGGAGGCCTCCTGACCTCAGATGCTCCAGTGTGGGAAAGACCATGGTGTCCACCTCCCACACCATGAGCCTACTCTTAACCCTAAGTGTGAAGAGTCCTGACAGAGTTGTTACTCTTCCCTAACTGCTATGATCATTTTTCACTTGGGGTACTCTTGCGTATTTAATCAAGCCATTTTCTAAGCAACAATGACCCTGTTTCTCTTTCCATATTTGGATAATGTGATGAATAAGCAGGTAGAACATCAAACCAACTGTGCATTCCTGGAATAACCCCTGGTCCCGGTGTGTCACCATTCCTGCACTGCTGGATTGGATTTGCTGCTCTTTGGTTAAGGGCGGCTTCAGCTGCTCATGAGGGGTGGGGGGGTCTCTCGTTTTCTTGCCTTTCTCAGGTTTTGCCATCATAGTCACGTTGTCTTCATAAAGATAAATTGGAAACTGTTCTTTCCTCCTTTATTTTCTGCAAAAACTTGTATAAAACTGGTATTATATCTTTCTCAAATGTTTGATAGCATTCACTGATAAAACTATACTGACCTGGAATTATTTTCATGAGGAAGGTTAAAATTACTGATAGAGGGGCTGGCGTTGCAGAGTAGAGGGTAAAGCTGCCGCCTGCAGTGCCGGCCTCCCATAAGGCTACCAGTTTGAGTCCCACATCAGCGCACCACTGATTCCAAAATATACATGAAATAGAATTTTATTTCATATTACAAATGCAAGTTAATCTTCCTTTGACATGCTGGTAGTATTCACTTTTATAGCACAAAAACATCTTTACAACTTCTGAGTCACAGTAGGGTTTACAACTCTAAGGAGGCAAATGTATTTCAAAAAGCAGACACTACACATTTTTATATACACTAAAAAAATAAAAATAAATAATTTTGACTATAAAACTTTTATGAACATTAGCTACATTAAGGGATCACAGCTAATTGTTGCAGAAAACCTAGAACACACTTATATCATGTACTCTTACCACTAGGCAACTCGTATTTTAATACACAAGTCGATTTTATTTCTATCACTGAAAATTATCCTCATCTATTATAGGATCTATGAGAGCTGCCAGGTATTCAGTATTTAAGCCACTAAGTTTACGAGGCATTAGGAATGTGTTAGCAAAGTACAAGATGAGAGAAAGCTGGACACATATATGGCATTATTATAGTTATCTTTTTCTTCCTGAGAATGTAGTTTTTTTAGTAGAACAAATTTAAATGAAACAGGAGAAAAATTTTATGGTAAATTATTTTCTCAAGTGTAGAATCCCTGGTAATATAAACAATTATGATCTTAATACCTAACTTGCAAACACGAAGTCTCTCACAAATTGTATTTATTTAAACAAGGCACAAGCCTATACATTTATTTGAAATGCTGGGTAGACGTGCCTTAAAAAGTAAGTGAATTTTGCTAAGACAAGATAATGACATGTTTTATGATACGGTATTCTGAAACAACTTTCCTAAGTAAAAATTAATTCTGCATGTGTGAAAAAGGCAGCAAAAAACACGTCATGAAGGGTAAAGATCTGTTTAAATAAATGAGGGCACTGTACATAAACCTGTCCTAAATCCAGTGTAACATTATGGTCATTTTTAGCAACTAAAAAACTTCAACATTGTTATTTTAAACTCTGACATCCCAAATTCACTAGGTACTTTGCTTCTACTATAGTTAGCACTACAAATTATATGTAAAATATAACCTGCAGCAAAGTGAGCTTAACAGTGTATTTATAAAACACGGGATCTGTAACAATTCTGATCATGAATGAAAGAATAAACTTCACTACACTCAGAACATGATCAGCCCCTAAAGGACAATCTACAAAACGCTGCCATCGCCACACCACGGCGAGCTCCTGAAAGTGCGAGAAAAAGCTGGAAACACAGCAGTGCGCACGGCCTTTCAAGGTGAGTGTCTGGCATCACCCGTGGAGATTTGAAGCTGCTAATTTAGCCAGATAAAAGCATGTTATGGAATGAACTGATCATCCCTTACCAAGTCGTTGCTTCAAAACATGGTCCGGACCAGAAGTGACTCAGGTGCGAGTTTGTGGCCACTCACAGACAATGACTGCGAACAGGCCCCGGAAGGAAGACAACGGCGTGTGGGAGGACATGTTCTAATCCTGCAGAGATTAATGCCACGGAGGACCACCAAGCCCACAACGGGCCACCTGTCTCAGAACACCGGGCTCGGAGCCCACTGAGCCTGCTTAGCCACGGGGCGTTAAGGGCAGGCTGGATTAAAAACAGAAGAGCGCCCTCTATGGGTAATCATGAAACCAGCCTTTCAACAGCTTTTGGCAAAAAGCATGCAGCAAAATCTTTGAGTTTTCCACAGAATTTACCAGTGCTTTCACGACTCCCCCACCTCCCCAGACACTAAAGACTATTTCTGAAGAATCAGAATAACAAGGTAATACATCTGCCAGGCGAATTCACTTAGGATTTTAATTAGTCAGTAGGCTGAATTTCTATCGATTGTGTCTAGCAGAACCAATGTGATCAACTGAACTCATTAAATAAAGCTCCACAGTGTAAACACTAAACACAGGTGTCAGAAGGTAAATAATAAATAAGTTAAAAATATAGATCTCATTTTAAAATAAATATGATACAAACACTTTAGCAGAGGTCTGTACACTTGCCTTCCCAGAGGGAGGCTCGGTGGAGTGCTTCAGATAGCAAAGACGGCTGTATTTCAAGGCACTGCACGAACACTGAATCTTTAAGCTGTTGGTCAGCCTTGGACATTCTTTGAGCAATGCATCAGGTCAGTTCCTTTTCAGTACATATAAAAACACATGTTGACACGGTCTCTTCGTCAAAAGAGAAGCTGGTGAACCTCCCGGCTCAGAAGCCGTGTCTTTCAATCCCAAGTGCTCTGGACCTTACTTTTACCAATTCATCTGTCTTGTTCTCTCTTGGACATACTGGGCCTAGAAAACAGATCCTGAATTGCAGTTCAGCCTGGTCATTAACAGAGTTAATTAAGCAACATCTGGGGGCTCTGAAAATAATCCTACAATTTGAATTATGACTTAAAAGTACTGTTTTTTCCTCCTCTTGGGGTTTCCTGAAAATCAGTATGTACCAATCATTTGGTTTGGGCTGCAGGCAAGCATTAACCAAGCCAGTGTGACAATGACCAGGTCCTTTCACAAAAGCAAGGGGAGTGTACAACGTTGTGGTGTCCATTTGTTAACATGAAGAGGAGACGAGGTTTCCACGCACATCCTGTGTCTAGCAAGCGTGCGGCTCAAGAGTAAGGACTGAGACCCGGAACCCTTTTGAGCCAGGCTCACTCTCCAGACACACAGCCATGAACAACAGACCACCTCTGTGCCACTTTCTGTGACTTTTAAAAGTCAGTGCTATATGATTTAAGTATTTCACTGGAAAAGAAGAACAGGCGTTTGTAAATAACAGGAAGTCTGGCCGTTTCCGGGGTGCTAGCCACACAAATGTACACCTGTTCCACTCCTAGTGCCATCGAGACTGCAAGACCGACAGAGCGCATCCGTCTGCTCCTGGATGAGCCTGCAGCTGCTTGTCTGGGAGGGGGTGAGGCGAGGTTTGCATTTCCGCTTCCGTCTAGTCGGTTTCCTTCATGTCCTCTTGGTCAGAAGTACTGGAGATGTCGTCGTCCGTCTGCTCTCCAGAGAAATACAACATCAGGGCGTGGGTCTTGTGAGTTATGGTAACGGTGCAGGGCCCCTGGGCCCACGGCTCCCCGTCTACTTGCATCGGCATCATGGAGCACTTCAAGATCAGCTGATGTTAGGGAACAAACAGTCAGACAAGCGTCAGTCCCAACAGCGTTCAGGAAGGCGCTTCTCCCAAGGACCACCCGCAGCCCCTTCACCCTCCTGTATCTCATTTTTAGAAAATTAACGTGAATATATCTTTATTGGCAGATGGTGTAAGGGATTCTTTTTCAGGGGCCATGTGATTTTTTTCAGCTGCATTGAGGGTCAGGTGTCTTGTCTCTTCTTCCCCATCCTACTCGAGCCCCTGATGTAGGGTGACCAACAGTATGGGCTGTGAGCCGCTATCCAGAGCCGTTACGGCGTGAACACCTGCTTCCACGGACCGGTGGCCCCGCCCTGTGTCACTCACCCTCACTGTGTGTGCTTGTCCTATTCGGAACGGGTTCGCCAGTTTCACTTGAATCTGGGCACAGTGGAAAGACCCGTATACTCCAACCACTTCCAGTAAACCATCATCATGCCTAAAATTGGGAGAAGGAATTAGAAGTCTCTGATGCACAGCAGGAAAATCAGCCAGGTTGGGGCAGTTACTTTTTAACCAGGTGGGCTGTCAACTTAGTATTAATGAGGTACACATAAAAAAGGAAAATTTGAGGGAAGAATATTACTTTGAGAACAACACAGTGCTTCGTGCAATCAGTGACAGAGGGACGGACAGCGACGCACGCACCTGGCTAGCGGGTAGGTCTCATCGCCCATGCCTTCCCACAACCTGCAGCCACCGCCCCAGTAGCCGATGTTCAGAACTATGATGCCCTCCAAATCTGGCAGCTCTACTCGCTCACCATCCAGCTCTAGCTTTAAAGAAAGGCAAGCAGTTAGTTACTACAAGGCACGCCACTCCCCACAGCGCCCCTGGAGTTTCCGACCGTGCGTGCAGATACGAGGCCACAGAGCCTGCTGAGGGGGAGACCTCCCGCACGTGAGGGCCTGGCGGCTCCCGCTTTTCAGGGCCAATGTACTTGTCCAGGTCACTGAGGACAAGACATCCTTTCTGCTAAAGTCTAAGATTTCTTCGGGCCCTTTCCAGCTCACTGTCCCAGTGCACCTGACTCAGCCCTGCCCTCGGCTCTCCGGGGACCACCGACCCTGCGTCTTGGGACATCACTGCTCAGTCACTGCTGCCAGCCCTGCTTCCTGCCTTGTGCCCACAGCTTCCTCCCAGCTATGTATCCAGCTCCTCTGCTGCAGACCCTGGAGGGCAACCCTAGCCACTTCCGCACCATTAACTGCTAAATCCGCAGACGGAAGCTGGGCCAGGCCCAGGTGTCCAACAGCCTACACGACGCTTGCACTGAGGGCGCCATGTGCCACAACTGTGCCAGTCTGTCCCGCCCTCCCTGCCTGCTTCCCTGGAAACCTGGGCGTTGTCTCGCTTTGTTGCCGTCATCCTCCTTATCCAATTAATTTGCTAAAAGCAATTGATCCTTTAGCTCTCTTTTTCCATCATTACTCTCGAGTTGGCTTGTCTGCCCCCTCGAGGCCCTTCAGTGGCGTGGCTCTGTGCTCACGATGAGATCCAAGTGCCACAACAGGCCAACAGGACCTGCTGGGACTTAGGCCCTGTGCATTTCCCCAGCCTCAGGACTTGCCTCTTTCCTTCCTGTTCCTGGGCTCCAGCTCGGACTCAAACATGCCCCATTCCACCACACACCTCTGGGCCCTCGGCATGTGCTGATCTCAGCCTGGGACACTCTTCACTGAGTTCACTCTGAATTTTCAGGTTTCAGCTTGTCACTTTCCCTAGATGGTCCCTGTCGTCCTTGGGTCATGCCTGGCCCTTGCTGATTCCCAGAAGACCTGAGCATGTCCCTTCCCATGTTGTCTTACTGCAAGGTAAGTACCTTTCTTCTCCTGAGACTGGAATCTTGGAGCAGGGGTGAGGAAGCTTTCCTCTGCCAAAGACCATTTGGATATTTATAACATCATTTGTAGGCCATACAAAATTATTACCCAGGGGCCAGCATTGTGGTACAGTGGGTTAAGCAGCCACCAGAGATGTCGGCATCCCATATGGGAGCCAGTTTGAGTCCCAGTTGCTCCACTTTTGATCCAGCTCCCTGCTAATGTGCCTGGGAAAGCAGCAGAACACACTTGGGCTTCCACCACCCATGTGAGAGACCCGGATGAAGCTCCTGGCTTCAGCCTGGCTGTTGCGGCCATTTGGGGGAATGAATGAGTGGATGCAAGATCTGTCTCTGTCTCTCCCACTCTCTTGCTGTAACTCTGCCTTCCAAATAAACAAATCTTTCAAAACTTTGATGCACTGGATTTTGAGTCCTGCCCATGGCTGCCTTGGCAGGGCCAGACCACGTGACTTTGTGGCCTTCCTCAGCCCACAGACCGGATGTTCCCTGCCCCTGCCTTAGGACAGGGATCTGTCACTGGATCTCCAGGACCTATGCCAGTGCCCTGCACTTTGTGGGTGACCTCAAAGGAATTAAAAATCAGACAATAAAATAAGGTGCTGCCTTAAGTGCTTCACTCTACCAATACTATCCAAGCCAAGGAAAAGGAAATATGATAAAGCAGCAATGATGCTTTTTAAATGCAAACTCTTGCTATTCCTGTTGGCAGCAGCTTTCCTTGGCTAATGGATAATCAGCTCCTTGGGCCATGCTCATTTTCTTTTCCCACTCTTTTCTCCCAAGCTATGCATCATCTCTTGTCTTTTGACTATATTGTACTAGCTCTAGGTTTCTCTGTATTAAAATATTTTTTAAAAAAAGTGTTTGTTTATTTAGGGCAGACACCAGCACAGTGGTTTAATCCATTGCTTGTGATGCTGGCATCCCATATCAGAGTGCCGGATCAAGTCTTGGCTGCTCCACTTCTGATCCAGCTCCCTGCTAATGCACCTGGGAAGGCAGTGGAAGATAGGCTAAGTACGTGGGCCCCTGTAACCCACGTGGGAGACCCAGCTGGAGTTCCAGGCTCCTGACTTCAGCCTGGCCCAGCCCTGACTATTGCAGCCATTTAGGGAGTGAATCAGCTGATGGATGATCTTTCTCTCTGTCTCTCCTTTGCTCTCTGTTGCTCTGCCTTTCAAATAAATAAATAAGTCAATCAATCTTTTAAAAACATAAATATAAAAATACACTTTTCATCCACCTGAAAGGCAGAGTGACACATAGAGAGAAGCAGAGAGCAAGACAGAGAGCAAATGTATACAAATGAACTTCCACTTGCTGGTTCGCTCCTCAATGCCCACAACAGCCAGGCCTGGGCCAGGCCAAAGTCTGAAACCTGAAACCCTATCCAGGCCTCCCACGTGGGTGGCAGAAGCCCATCTCCCAGGATGCATTTGCAGGAAGCTGGTTGGAAGTGCAAGTGCTGGGACTCAAACTGGCAGTCCAACATAGGATGCTGGCATTCCAAGCTTTAACACGACATCCACTTCTCTATTACTATCTGTGGTTGCTATTAACCTTTACAGATTTTTCTGGAAGTAAGGAATACATACATACAAAGACATTGCCATATAATGATGTTAGGGATACTGTAGCAACATCAATCATCAGTATTCTATCTTACTGATTTAGTATGTACGAGAAAGATCTCACAAAAGTAAACTGAATTAAACTTGCATGTAAACTGCCTCTGGGCATTTATGATGTATCAGGCACTGAATCTGAGAACTCCACAAGTGTGTTATCGTTCAGTATAGCACATAGACTCTGGAGTGTCTAAGACTCGGCCCCAATCCTGATTATGCAGGTACTGTGTGAATGTGTGCAGTTCTTCCGTCTCTGTACTGGGAACGTAATACTCCCTGCCTTAGAAGGTCATGGTGAGGACTGAGGTTACTGTGTACAGCAAAGCGCCTGGCATACAAATACCCCACATACGTTACCAAAAGATACTAATAGGAAGCTGAGGATTTCTGTTAAACAAGAGTCTTATGATTAAGCAAGATACCATCTTAAACTTTAGAGAAGGCATTAGTAGCTTACCTCAACTTTTTTGTTCAAATCTTTACATTCTTGCACTAAACAATCTTTGGTCCCATAGAATAAGTAAACAGCCTATGAAAAATGGGCAAAAATCATGTTAGAACAACCTAACAAACCCTGCAGACATGAAGAAAAACACAGTAGGCCCAAGCTGTCTGATCTGACGGTTGGATCGCGCTTTCTTAGCCTGGACTGGATTCTGAGGTCTCCGGAGAAAGGGCCCCAAAGGGATGCTTCGGGGATGCGACCTCTTGCTCCACCCAACACCTCTTAAGCTGGAACTCACGTGGGACAGCAGGGAAGGGGCCCGGGTAAAATACAGTGTAAAATGTCTCTCACATATCGCAGGCAGCTCGGGCAGTGTTAAAATGTGATGCTTTATTCTATTGTGCTCTTAAGGGTTGAACAGTTCTAGCTGACCTGTGGTACAACAAGTGACATTAACCATCCCTCTCTTCTAGCAGGGGACCGTAGAAGCCACTGCTTTACAGTTTAACTAGCCTGTTCTCTGAGGGCAACGTGGTGTTTTCTCCCTGTTTATCCATAAAGCTGCATTTTAAAAAGAAATACTACATAAAAACAAGAAAATTCCACTTTTCTCAGTACTTCAGGTTACTTGAGGAAAGCAATGCAGACAAAACTTAGCAAGCACTTAATCATCACTTCTGAATTCAGAAAAGCTGCCAGAAGCACTGAGATGCTGAGTTGTATAAATAGTAACATTAACATTACTAATAGCCTTAGTAACTATATTAACAAAGGGAACTACTTTTAAGAATTTTTTTTTTTTTTGGACAGGCAGAGTTAGACAGTGAGAGAGACAGAGAGAAAAGTCTTCCTTCCGTTGGTTCACCCCCAAAATGGCTGCTGATCCAAAGCCAGGAGCCAGGTGCCCCTTCCTGGTCTCCCATGGGGTGCAGGGCCCAAGGACATGGGCCATCCTCCACTGCCTTCCCGGGCCACAGCAGAGAGCTGGACTGGAAGAGGAGCAACCGGGACAGAATCCGGCACCCCAACCAGTACTAGAACCTGAGGTGCCGGGTGGGGCGCCGCAGGTGGATGATTAGCCAAGTGAGCCGCGGTGCCGGCCGAAAACATTTTTTAAAGACACAGAACTTCTATCCACTGGATCACTCTCCAAATGCCTGCAAGTGCTGGGGCTGGGCTGGGCCAGGCAGAACCTGGAAGCTGGGAGCTCAATCCAGGTCTTCCCGGTGGGTGGGAAGAACCCAATTACTTGAGCCTCCCAGGGTTTGCATAGAAGGAAGCCAGTTAGAAGGAATCAGGAGATAGAGACAGGCATCAAATCCAGGGATGCCAATGTGGGATGAGGGGGTCTTAATTGCTAGGCAATTTTAAAATTTGAGATATTTGTAAACAGAAACAGGAATACTGTTTTATATTATGTTTCACATTCTACTGCTCAATCGCCAAAAGTCATTTAAAAAACTATAGAACAAAACTTCCATCAGCCCTGGAGATGGCTGTGGCTAAAAGCTGTAGAAATGAATTGCTCCTCTCCGTGCCTTGACTGCCTCCTGGGGCTTTCCCAGGCCAGTGGAATCTAATTTTTCATTAACAACTTTACCAACAATTTTTTCTGTCTAACATTTCTTTCCCACTTTCACCACCATTTAAGATAAGCTATCACATACCGTAAAATTTGGACAGCTCTAAGATTTAAAAATCCAATTTGACAGTCTTACACAAACAGAGCAGGTAAGTGAGTCCATAAGCTAGTTCAACCCGCATCTAAGAGTGTTAAATATAGTGAACTATTGATTTTACTGTACCTTCAGTGATAAGCAGCAAATGTTATTTTATCCAACACACCTTATTAAGAATTCTGCTAGAAAACAGGGATGGTGCCTTCTCACGGTGAGCATGAAAATTGAGGGCCATGAGGGCGTCAGGTCCGATAGAAAAATAGTTGTTCATTGTGAACTCCTGCGCAAAACAGGGAGGATGAGCAACAGATGAGCTTTTGTCCACGCTGTCCCACCCTGAACCACACAAATCTGATCCTTTCTGCTCTTTCTGGAAACTGAACACTTTTCTCCTGTACTTTGACAGTGTTCAGAGAAGCCAGCAGGAAGAAGCGTGAGTTCAAGGCTGCCCGTTAGGGACAGGACCCGCCCTGGCCACGCCTGTCTGGCCTGCGGAGTCCCAGACCTGCCCCTCCGCAGCGGCCCCGCTCTGGGTGTGAGGCTGCTCCCCTGGATCGTATCCACTGGGTTCTCTGCTCCTGTCGGCCCCTCCGATCCAGCCTGGACACCTCGTCTCTGGCCTTCTCCTCGCCCGTATCAGCCTGAATTGTTCATCTGCTCCACGTGCCCTTTCTTGGCTGTTTCCAGGCTGCTGGGCACTGCTGGTGAGAGCCTTGCAGTTACAATTCTCTCTGTTACAGCTTGCTATTTCCAATCCATCATGGGGCGATTCCTTTCAATAACCCACAGGAGCTTATCTGGAAAAGTACAACTCTGAAGTCTCTCATCATCAGCCCCTTGCCTTTGCTACGCTCATGTGATCTTGCTTTGCTGGAACAAGCGATATCATCAGGTATGAATTCTCACGTGTTTTCCTGTCATCTAAAAATTCTGCCTTTACTCAGTGTATCTTTTGTTCTCCATGTCAAAGATGCTCTTAGTCCCTTTTATGGCGAAGTTGAAATTCAGTTGCTTATTTTCTTCCTCCTTTCTGCATTTTCTCTCATGGATCTATGAGTCACTAAATCTGTCCCTTCACTGCCAAAATATAATTAAAATCTCAATTCTTAAAAAAAAAAAACACTTTAAACATCTTAACTAAAAAGTACATTAATTTAACTGAAAACCTTTACATCAATTTGACTTTATTTTTTACTAAAATTCCTCTTGTCTATTTCCTAGAAATTCTGGAACTAAAGGTGAGTAACACGAGCTCTATGAGGGCAAGACCTGCACCGCCGAAGCTCCCACACCCAGGACGGCGTCTGGCACAGAATAAGCATCTCAACGTACCAGGGGTCACTTGGATACTTATAACACCATACAAAATTATCAACTTAAAAACTGGCCTGCTACAGATTTATTGAATTTTGCGTCCTGCCTGCAGGTGCTTTGGCAGGGACACATCAAATGATTTTGAGGGCTTTATATGGCCTTTGGACCACATGTTCCCACCCCTGGAAAGAATGAGGTTCTCTCTTGCTGTGTATGTTTGAAATTTCTTCCACAGAGATGAGTACACCCTATTAATGGTGGCATAACTTTCTTTTAACAATATTTATTCATTTGAAAGGCAGACTTATAGAGAGAAGGAAAGAAAGAGAAAGAGAAAGAGAGAGAGAGAGAAGGAGAGAGAGAGAAGGAGAGAGAGAGATCTTCCATTCACTAGTTCATTCCCCAAATGGCCACAGTGGCTGGGGCTGGACTGGGCCAAAGCCAGGAGCCAGGAGCTTCCTCCAGGTTTCCCATGTGAGTGCAGGGGCCCAAGGACTTGGGACATCCTCTGCTGCATTCTCAGGATTGGAAGTGGGGCAAGTGGGACTCAAACTGGCACCCATATGGGATGCTGGTATTGCAGGGGCCAACTTTACCCATTATGCCACAACACTGGCCCCAGCATAACTTTTCTTAGTGGCCTATCTTGTTTCTGATAGCAAATGGGTGGAGAGAGTATGCCTTCTTATTTGAATCACCTAACTGGCACAAAATTTTGCCCAAGTCCTTCTTTGGAAGAGTGACCTCTGATAAGTATTTTAAAAGTTATCTCCTTTTTATTATTGAGCAGTATATTCTGGTATGGATGAGAAAAACATTTTTTTTCATGTCCATCATCCTCAACTCTACCATTTCTTTATGATGAGAACATTTAGAACCCTCTCTTTTAGCAATTTTGAAACATTCTTAACTGTGGTCGCCGTGCTGTGTGACAGAACACCTGAGCTCACTCTCCCGTCTGACTGCTGAGCAATGTCTCTCCTTGTCCATCCACCCTGGTGTCTGCCATTCTACTCTACTTCTGATGAATTCACCTCTTTCAGATGTCACACATTCGTGAGATCACATGCCGCCCGTCTCCCTTTGCCAGGCCTACTTAACATGATGTCCTCTAGGTTCATCCATGTTGTTTCAAATGATAGGATCCCCACCGCCCTTCAAAAAGAAAAGGCTAAACAGGGTTCTATTGGGTATATGTACCAAATTAAAAAAAAAAAAATCCATTCACCCGTTGATGACCTTAGGCTGATTCTGCATCTTGGTTACTTGCTGTAATGACCTTGGGAGTGCCAGTATCTCTATGACATGCTGATTTCAATTCCTTTGGGTAAATACTCAGAAATGGAATCAGTGGATCACACAGTAAGTTCTAGTTTTAGTTTTTCTGAGGCAGTTCCATCCTGTTTTCCAAAATGGTTGTATTACTTTACACTCCCACCAACAGCATATGAGAGTTCCCCTTTCTCTGCATTCTCACCAACTTATCATCATCAGCCAAGACAAACAGAGTAGAGAGCCCAGAAGTAAACCCACCCGTTTATGGTCAACTGACTTTCAAGACAGGAGCCCAGAACACACAACAGGGAAAGGACAGTTTCTTCAATGAATGGTGTTTGGGAGACTGGATGTCACATGCAGAGGAATGGAAACGGCTCCTCATTCCACTCCTTACACGGAATCAACCAACAATTTATGGAAGACTTAAATGTTAAGAACAAACTATAAAACTACTCAAAGAAAACGGGGCAAAAGCTCCATGACACTGGCAAGAGTGATTTCTTGGAAATGCTCCCCAAAGCAAAGGCATTGAAAACAAAAATAGGTAAATGGGATCACATCAAACTAGCAAGCTTCTGCACAGCCAAGAGACAGTTAACAGAGCAAGAAAATCACCCAGTTGGGAGAAAATATTTGCATTACCCAAGAAACAAGGAATCCACACTATTCTCTTGTAAGAAAATAATACTATTAAAAATGAGCAAAGGTCTTGGACACTTCTCAAAACACAAATTGGCAACAGGTATATGAAAGAATGCTCCACATAGCACTAATCACAATGAAGTATCACCTTACACCTGCTAGGCTGGCTATTACCAGAAAGAGAAATGTATCTTTAATGCTGGTATTTCAGGTACTATGATAAATGAATACTTTTACACACAGGATGCATTTTAGAAAATCTCTCAACACCTTCTCTATTTATATGGGGAGGGTGGGGGGAGGGAGAGAGAGCATTCACGTCCACTGGTTCTTTCTCCAAGTGCTCATAATGGCTGGGACTGGGCCAGGCTGAAACCAGAAACTGGGATTTGCATCTGGGTCTCCTACGGGGGCGGCAGGGACTCCAGTTCTCAGTCATCACCTGCTGCCTCTCAGGGCCTGTATTAGCAGGAAGCTGCCCGCAGCTAGGAACCAGATCTGGATATTGAACCCAGATACCCTGAGGTGGGACATAGGCTTCTTAAGACGGGTGTCTCCATGTCTAGGCTAAACACCCACCTCCAACTGTTATTTCATGATCTTCCAATTTTAAGTACTTACTATCTTTAAAAGAAATGTACTTATTTTATTGGAAAGAGTCAGAATGAGATCTTCTACCTGCTGGTTTTACTCCCCCGAGACTCCTAACAGGCAGGGTTGTGCCAGGATGAAGCCAGCCACAAAGGCCTGAGCACCCTGGCTTCACGTCGGCATCATCTGCTGCTTATCGCCCACCTTCTAGAACTGCCTTCTCTGACTCCCTACACGAGTCCCCTCTTCATCAGCGCGTCCCCTAAATATATCTGTTTTTAAGATGTAGTTCTTAGCCTCAATGGCCGGCTCCTGCTCCCGCGTGTTCAGCATGTAGACAGCCACACCAGAACCGCAGCTCCGGCTCAGTGGCTGCCAGCTATGCAGGAGCCCCACTTTCCACTTCTGCTCCGCACGCTGTTCTCAATGGCTCGGCTTTACCCTCAGGGCTTCCACTGCTGCGTTCCCAATCTTCTTCTTACACTTTGGCGGCTTCCAGCAGCCCCAGCGCAGGCAACCGTGCCCCCTGGGTTTACCTTCCTTTCCAGCCCTGCCCGGATTCCTCAATCTGCAGCTCTAGGTATCCTTGTTCCTGACAAATAAGCCTCAACTTCCAGAATCTGTGTCAATGTTCCAGGGTTTTCTGGGTTGAGATCCCCCAAATCTAACTCATTTTCTTCCTAGCCAAACCTGAAATCTGTTTTTCTTATCTCCATTTCCATACCCGCGATTGTTATTAACTAGAAACCTAGTAATAACCTGTGTTTCTTCTCTCTTCCCTTTTTACCAACAGATTGTCAAGTCTTGATGAGTTCTACCTCTCAAAAGTGCTCGATTACCTGTATCCTAAGATTCCCCTGGTTTCTACCCTAGTGCCAGCTTCTGTCCCAAGCTATTTCCACAGTATCTCCAGAGGAGCTTTTAAAGAAACAGGTCTGCTTTCTGTGTGTGTTACTTGCTATTTGCCAACTGTATACTGTCTCTCTTCCGCTTCTCCCCACAAGGTCCTTGGCTCCCTCCCCTGCTATCTACACAGTTTCACCCAGACAGACTGGACGCCATGTCCCTGCAGCCTCCCCACTGTTCTCCAGCCCAGCCCCACAGAGCAGCGCTGGGCCTTGCCTTTTCTGCTCTGTAACCAACCTCAGAGAAGCCCAGAGTGCGGTGTCCCCCACGGAAGGCCACAGCTGTGCACCCCATGTGCTCGCTCCAACTACTCACAATGAAGCACTGGGACATACCTTGGGCTTTCTTAGGTTGTAGTATCCTTTATTTGTTACTTGAACTTTCCACCTAAAAATATAAAAGTTAAAAAAGAGAAAAAGTCAGTACCTTTTACCAAAATAACTGAATTCTGGCTGTCTACTAGATAACGTTTTTCTAGTAAAATAGTAGTCGTATCTAAGTGAGCGTGCAAATGTCCTGAGTTCTCAGCATGGCCTATGTATCTGGCCTACATAATAATGAAACAGCAGTACTCATGTATGGAAAATGGAATCAAATATAAGTTTGCTTTCATGCAAAAAATATATTTTTTAAAAAAGATTTATTTTGAAAGACAGAGTTACAGAGAGAGGTAGACTCAGAGAGAGAGAGACAGAGGTCCTTCATTCCGCTGGTTCACTCCCCAAATGATTGCAACGGCCAGAGCTGAGCTGATCCAAAGCCAGGAGCCAGGAGCCTCCTCTGGGTCTCCCATGTGGGTACAGAAGGCCAAGGAGTTGGGCCATCTTCTACTGCTTTCCCAGGCCATAGCAGAGAGCTGAATTGGAAGTGGAGCAGCCGGGACTCGAACTAGTACCCATATGGGATGCTGGAACTGTAGGCTGGGGCTTTAACCCGCTGTGCCACAGCACCAGCCCCCCAAAATCTTTAAAATCCATGCATACATGGGATCTTCAACATTTCATGGGAAATGCATATCATGAAAAACTCTGCATGGATTTCACAATCTTTGTGCCAAAATAAACTTACTCTTAATTCCCATTTTCCATGAACTTTCTGAAGTACCGTGTGTAAGTACGACTAAAATGGCCTTTTACATTTAAATTACATTTAACTACACACGTCTTCATTTATACACCACATGATGTTCCCAAAGCTCAAGATGTCTTCCTTCGGGCTCAGAGTCACTCACCGATCGAGTTTAATGCCATCTGCCTCCATTACGTTTCTTAAGACTTGTGCCACTGGGATTTCGCCAGCATAGCCTGTACCCCAGCCCAGCGTATTGGACAGGTCGTTGCCTGTTCCCAGAGGCAACACCGCAACTTGTGGAATGTATTTTTCTTGTCCCTGGAACATGGAACATACATTTGTTTTAGAGTTTCCTCTTCAGAGCACTTGTAGGGTAATGGTATTTTGTAAAATTTAAAGCCCAAACCAACAAGGATAAAAAAATCGCAGCTATAGGCTGAGTAAAGTGCTTAATGGTAATAACTCATTCCTAGCTGCCTGTAACTGGCAGTGTCTTCTAACAGTCACCTGTGTGGTAACAAACCGCCCGCCGCCCCCAGTGTCACTTATCTCAGCAGTGCTCTGTGACCAGTGCCTCTGTACCTTGATCTTCATTTCATCAACAGTGTCCAGCACCCAGCCCACGGTCCCGTCCCCTCCACAGACAAGCACCCGAGCTGAGTTACAGGGAAGGAGGGTGCAGAGCTGCAGAGCCTTGAGAGGGGGCGTTTTAGTCACATCAAAAACCTAGAAAGGAAAGAACAAGGAGAGAATTATTTTTATCTAACCTGGTTCTCCTTCCGTGAGTAGATGACTAGACACGGCTGAAGAAGGTACCAGTTACCGCGTGAGTATCTTTTTTTTTTTTTTTTTTTTTTTGACAGGCAGAGTGGACAGTGAGAGAGAGAGACAGAGAGAAAGGTCTTCCTTTGCCGTTGGTTCACCCTCCAATGGCCGCCGCGGCCGGCGCGCTGCGGCCGGCGCACCGCGCTGATCCGATGGCAGGAGCCAGGAGCCAGGTGCTTTTCCTGGTCTCCCATGGGGTGCAGGGCCCAAGCACCTGGGCCATCCTCCACTGCACTCCCTGGCCACAGCAGAGGGCTGGCCTGGAAGAGGGGCAACCGGGACAGAATCCGGCGCCCCGACCGGGACTAGAACCCGGTGTGCCGGCGCCGCTAGGCGGAGGATTAGCCTAGTGAGCTGCGGCGCCGGCCTGCGTGAGTATCTTTAACAACAAGCCAGGCGTGTGCCTCCTGCACTTGTCCTCAGTGGGGCTCCTCCTCACACCCACCCTACATGGCGGGAGTGGGCCTCCTTGTGCTGACCAGGAAGGCAAATCACTTGCCAAGTGCCACAATTCAAATCCAGACTCACGGTCTAGCCATTATACCCCACTGTCTCCTCCTCCACAAGGGCTGAATTCACCTCTAACCAGTGTTTCATATTTTATACTTTTTGTTTAAAAAAATCACTAGTTCAAGTTAATACAAATTACACAGCATGTTAGACAACAATTCCGCAATATCCAAGAAATGATACAAAAATGCAAGGAAGCTTGAGGTCACCAATCCTGTAAATGCTCCTAGGAAAATATTTCTTTTTTTTTTTCTTCTTTCTTTCTTTCTTTCTTTCTTTCTTTCTTTCTTTCTTTCTTTCTTTCTTTCTTTCTTTCTTTCTTTCTTTCTTTCTTTCTTTCTTTCTTTCTCTTTCTCTCTTTCTCTCTTTCTCTCTTTCTCTCTTTCTTTCTTTCTTTCTTTCACAGGCAGAGTGGACAGTGAGAGAGAGAGACAGAGAGAAAGGTCTTCCTTTGCCGTTGGTTCACCCTCCAATGGCCGCCGCGGCCAGCGCGCTGCGGCCGGCGCACCGCGCTGATCCGAAAGCAGGAGCCAGGTGCTTCTCCTGGTCTCCCATGGGGTGCAGGGCCCAAGCACTTGGGCCATCCTCCACTGCACTCCCTGGCCACAGCAGAGAGCTGGCCTGGAAGAGGGGCAACCGGGACAGAATCCGGTGCCCTGACCGGGACTAGAACCCAGTGTGCCGGCGCCGCAAGGTGGAGGATTAGCCTAGTGAGCCATGGCGCCGGCCCTAGTAAAATATTTCAAAATACAAAAATGTCCTGAAGAGAAAGATAGTCACTGTTGCGTTAATTATCATATTACAACCTTGGGGACACTCTCTACCTCCAACAGCAAGTGACTGGATAAATTATGATACATCCATTCAATGAACTCTCCTAGCCATTAAACACGTAATTATGAAGACTATGTTGAAACAGGGAAAATATACCATTAATAAAGCAATGCAAATTTGTATCTAGATTATGACAGCATTATTAGTACATAGATGCAGAGACTGTGCAAGCGACACGAACAAATGAGAACATGCGTTGTGTGGGGAAAATGTAGGTGATCTGCTCTTTTTTTTAATTTTTGTAATTTTCCCTAAGTAATGTAATAATGAAAGTATAAAAACAGAAAGAAAGTATAAAAACTGAAAAGAAGGAAAAAATTTACTACCTGTCTGATGGTTGCACAATGGGTTTAGTTGTCCACAAGTTGCTAGCCTGTACCCTCAATGTTAATGTCAAGGTTCTTTTTTCCCCTTGTTTTAAAACCAGGTATAATTTACATACCATGAAATTCACTCACAGAGAACAAGGCAATGACTGCTAGTTGTGCGACCACCACCACAACCCAGGTCAGAACTCTTAACCGCTTCAGTAAGGTTCCTCCTTGCCCGTCTGCAGTCCCCATTCCTAGCCTCAGGCAACCCCAACCTACGGCCCCCGGGGATCTGCCTTTTCTGGGCAGGTTGCATAAATGAGAGAACCCTTGTGTCTGGGTTCTTCACAGCTCACTCACTGTAACGTGTCAGTGGGTCAGTCATTCCTTTTCCTCACTCAGTGGTATCCCATTGTACGGATACATGGTAGTTTTGTTCATCTGCTCACCAAATGATGGGACAGTCCACCTGCTTCTGTTCTTTGGCCATCATGAATCATGCTGCCATGAGGACTTGCAAGCAAGTCTTTGTGGGATGCATGTTTTCACTTCCTTTGTGCAGATTCTTACAAGTGGGATTGCTCGGCAAATTTAACTTTTTAAGAAATTGCCAAGGGGCTGGCATCACGACACAGCAGGTCAAGCTGCCACCTGCCTCCCCTATGAATGCTGGTTGGAGGCCCAGCTGCTCCACTTCTGATCCATCCCCCTTCTGAAGCACCTGAGAAAGCAACAGAAGATGGCCCAAGTGCTTGGGCTCTTGCCACCCATGTGGAAGACCCAGGTGGAGTTTCAGGCTCTTGATTTCAAATTTCTTTTTTAAAGATTTTATTTATTTATTTGAGAGGTAGAGTTACAGAAAGAGAGAGGAAAAGATAGAGCTAAAGGTCTCCCATTCTACCAGTGCCTCCCCAAATGGCTGCAATGGCCAGAGCTGGGCTGATCTCAAGCCAGGAGCTTCCTCCAGGTCTCCCATGTGCATGCAGAGGACTAAGCACTTGGGGCATTTTTTTACTGCTTTCCCAGGCCATGAGCATAGAGCTGAATAAGAGGAACAGCTGGGACTCAAACCATGGCCATATGGGATTCTGGCAACACAGACAGAGGCTTAGCCTACTATGGCACAGCGCTGACCATGCGCCCTCCCTCCATTTCAAATTTTTGGAAATGCAGTTACAGAGAAAAAGGGACACACACACACACACAGAGAGAGAGAGAGAGAGAGAGAGAGAGAGAGAGATTCCATCCACTGGTTCACTTCCCAAATGGCTGCAAGGCCAGGGCTAGCCCAGACACTTTGGCTATCTTTTGCTGCTTTTCCCATTAGCAGGGAAGCTGGATAGGAAGTGGAGCAGCCAGGACATGAACTGGCTCCCATATGCGATGCTTGCATTGTAGGCAATGGCTTTACTGGGCATGTTACAACACCAGCCTAACAAATAAATCTTACAGTAACAAAACTGTCAAAGTGGATGTACCACTGTCTATTGCTACTCAAGGACTCCTGTTCCTCCTCATATGTGAGTGGTGTCACTCTTCTGTCATTATTATTCATTCCTATGATCAAAGGCATTATTCACAACATTTTAGGGATAATGCAAGATTAATAAAGGAAAGCTTTCTACTTACCTGGACTGGATTTAACAGGATCCTAAATTCTCCCAACAGTTCTTCTCCCATGTTAGTTCCACTTCGAGAGTTGGCTAGGATTATTAATGGGGTCCACTGCTTTCCAAGCTTAGAAGCTAGCTTAAAAAAAAAAAAATGATAACCAGAGTGAAAAGGTTTAACATCTCAAAGATGGCAGGCACCTACTTTTCACACCTTGATAACAAAGGTGCTGTAATTTGCTGAAATTCAAACCATACTGGTGCTGTCCAAACAATGTGAAAATGGAAGAAGTCTAAGCCGGGAAGGGGACCACAGAGCTTAGTTGAAGCTTCTGCTTAATCTCTGACCATCTTCTGTTCTATATGTCATCCTGCATATGCTCTGATGCATTAAGAGGGGACTCACTAATAAGGCAGCCTATACTGATTTTGTTTCCCAAGTCAACTAGGAATGGTTGTTGCCTGCTCATCACTGCTGTGCTCAAACCCAGCAAGCTGCATCTTTGACCAGTCTCCTCTGCTTGCCAATACATTCCATGTTCCTCCAGCCTCTCGCGGAATGGACACCGACCGTTCTCCCTCCCTCACCTTGACCTTCTTTCGCTGGATGTACGCTGCCACACTGCCTTCTCCTTGCGGACAGAACCACTGAGGAAGCTATTCCATAGCTTTACTTAGTGATCTCAGATTGAATTCAGGAAGGGGCTTGTACAGTGAAAAATCACCCATCTGTATCACAATGTGGAGGCTTGATGGTTAAGATATAAAATCTGAGCTTCAACAAGGTAAAGCTGAATTTTAAAACAAAATAAATGTGTTGGAATATTCAAGTAGGACTTAAGTCTGTCCTTTTTTATAGTCAGTACTCAAGAGCAACATAAAGATGGGGAGCTGTATCCATGCTGCTTTTCACACATATACATACACACTGCACTTTAACTTCAACATTACTTGCGGTAGCATCTAACGTGCAATGTGAACTTACTTCAAGGGATCCTATGTAAAGTTCTAAATGGAACAATTTTTTTTAGAACAAGGTCAGAGGAAAATCCATGTTTTCTTTTGACTGACAATGATTAAGAATCCCAAATCTAGCTGTTTGTCAGAATCATCTGAGGACCTTAAAATAATACATATGTATATATGTAGGTTTCCTAAATCTACGACATTCGATGTGGTTTTAGGAGTGGGCTCATGAATCTATTTAAATCTTTTTTTTTTTTTTTTTTTGACAGGCAGAGTGGACAGTGAGAGAGAGAGAGACAGAGAGAGAAAGGTCTTCCTTTGCCGTTGGTTCACCCTCCAATGGCCGCCGCTGCAGCCGGCGCACCGCGCTGATCCTGGCAGGAGCCAGGAGCCAGGTGCTTTTTCCTGGTCTCCCATGGGGTGCAGGGCCCAAGCACTTGGGCCATCCTCCACTGCACTCCCTGGCCATAGCAGAGAGCTGGCCTGGAAGAGGGGCAACCGGGACAGAATCCGGCGCCCCAACCGGGACTAGAACCCGGTGTGCCGGCGCCGCAAGGTGGAGGATTAGCCTATTGAGCCACGGCGCCGGCTTTCATGAATCTATTTAAAAAAAAATTTCTCCAAGGGTTTGGATGCAGTTAGAACCACTGGTGTGACGCTTCCTGCTTTGCTCCAGACATGAAAGAACCCAGGAGTTGAAATCTGTGCCACATCACTGGGAATGGGCAGGATTTATGGCTTACCAGGATGACTTTGTACTTCCCCTGAGCTTGGCCTTGACATTTTTATTACGCTTATTTTATTCTTGGCCCTAACTCTTCCCACACACACAGCCTGAACTGTCTTATGCCCTGACTTAAACAATTGTTTTTAGGAATCAAGCACGTAAGTAAACTGTAGTTACCACTTCATAATCTTTTCTCTTGTCCTTTCGCATCTGACTAATGGCAGCCAAGTAGCTGGGCGGGATGATGAGGTTTCGGAATTCTCCAAAATCACACTCTTCGCTCTTTAAGCTGGTTTTCATGCATTCATCGTGTACTGTTTTCTGACACCAAATGCACCTGAGGAAAGGAAGCAACAGAAGCATTTGCTAATTTTAAAGTTTTAAAGTGCAATTTTACTGATCCACAAACCAATCATTCTTGTCAGGAAAAAAAAAAAAAAAAACAACATAGAGTCATCCCTTGGTATCCTCAGGGGACTGGTTCCAGGACCCCACCCCTCACACACACCAAAAGCTAGGGTCCCTTACATCAAATGGTAGACAGGGTGCACAGAACCTTCTCACTGCATTTTCCTTTATTTGCATATAAATGCATTATTTATATTACCATTACTCTGAAAATGAATACATACTTTAACAATTTCTGTTGAAATCTGTCACATGGTAAGTACCATAGAAACCAAAGCTGACCCAGAACAAAGGGTCAACCAATCAGTCCTGTTTTGGCCAAAACAGGTTCTGGAGGCCTCAACTCCCTGCTGCTTAAACATCCCCATTGCCCTGGCCCTTGGAGAGTTCTCGGGGCCCAGCATCAAGTCTCCTGGTTTGTATAAAGTGAAATAGCCCATTGGGGGTGGGGGAGAGACAGGTAACAAAAAATAATGTATATGTTTGCTTTGCTCCAAGTTTGGATCTACAGCGTCAAACAGGCTGGCAAGGGCCTGGGGCTCTGCCACTAATCTGCTAAGCATTTAATCCACTCACAGTCAAGGCTGATCTGAGGGGACAAAGGCAGGGCAGCAGAAAAGAATGGCTGTAATTAGATGAAGAAAGGGGACAAACTCTCCTTCACCTGGCGGTCACCTCAGGACCCTTCTATTTTAAGAGGTTTTCCCCCCACCTCTGGTTGTTCAGAGTTGTTGAGCAATTTCTGCTGCTTACTCAGGAGTCCTACTTACCCTTAAAAAGAATTACTGGTTAAAAAGAAAACTGTAAAGTAACTCGCACAATAACAGGTGACACTTGCTTGCAAACTAAGCTTGAGAAACTGGCTATGCAGCCCGTGTCTAATTCCCCCACCCACTGGCCCATCATTAACTTCAAAACAACAGCTTATTATTCAAAGTAACCTCAAAGAATGACCACTGAATTATTTCCTAATGGCTTCCTCTGGGAAGACTCGCAGGACCAGGACCGAGGGATAGGAAGAACATTATGCATTAGTGCTTGTACTGTGAGTTCCTAAAAACCAGAATGTATTCACAGACTACTTGCATGTATTTTTTTCAAGATTTATTTATTTATTTGAAAGGCAGAGTTACAGAGAAGCAGAGGCAGAGAAAGAGAAAGAGAGAGGTGCAAGGGCCTAGGGACTTGGGCTGTCTTCTACTACTTTCCTAGGCCATAGCAGGGAGCTGGATCGGAAGCGGAGCAGCTGGGACTCAAATTAGCACCCATATAGGATGCCAGTACTGTAGGTGGCAGCTTTACTTGCTACGCCACAGCACCAACACCTTGCACGTATTTTTAAAACCATACTAAGAACACGCTAGCCTATGCTTTAGAGTTTAGAAATACTGAAAGGCACAGAGTAAAAACCAGTCAGAGATATTCTTTTTTTTTAACTTTTATTTAATGAATATAAATTTCCAAAGTAGTCAGAGATATTCTTAACTTTATAATCTAGCTCTTCTCAGTTTTATAGAGCTATGTTTTTCAGGTTAGGAATATGATATATATATATTTAGATACTGCTTTTCTTCCCACATTGTACCATGAATATTTCCATATGCCACTAAATCTTTTTTAAAGCCATGATTTGTAAATGTATAATACTACATCATATGGATATACTAAATTTACTTAAACCCCTATTCTGCCTTTTGAAACATTTGGACAGGTTATCTTTAAATTAGAGATGGGATGAACGGCCCCAACACAAAAATGAGATTCTCTGCCAACCGCAGAGATTAGTGCTGTGGGAGCCAGCCTTGCCCTGCAGAACTCCATGTCTATCCTATGTGCCTGGGACCAGCACAGTTCATCACAGGCGGTGCCCATTAACGGTACTGATTTGTACTTAAAGATTTTTCCTTGATGACTCGATAGCAAAGGTCTTCTTCTTGTTTATTTGTTTATTTATTTTTATTTGAGAGGTAGAGTTACAGACAGAGAAAGGGAGAGTTAGTGAAAAAGGTCTTCCAACTGCTGGTTCACTCCCCATATGGCCACAACGGCCAGAGCTGAGCTGATCCGAAGCCAGGAGCCAGGAGCTTCTTCTGGGTCTCCCACGCGGGTGCAGGGGCCAAGCACTTGGGCTTTCACTGCCTTCCCAGGCCATAGCAGAGAGCCGGATCAGTCAAACTAGAACCTCAGAAGAGGAGCAGCCAGGACTAGAACTGGTATCCATACGTGATGCTGGCGCCGCGGGTGGAGGCTTAACCTACTGTGCCACAATGCCGGCCCCCTTCCTCCTGGAGGAAACCCTTCCTGCCTTCCTTAGTGAATTCACGAACGTCCTAGGTTCATCTTTCACCAGGCGTCAACACCTGCCTGCACTTTTTTTTTTTAAAGATTCATTCATTTTACTTGAAAGTCAGAGTTACACAGAGAAGAAAAGGCGGGGGGGAGGGGGGGATAGGGAGGGAGAGAGAGAGATCTTCCATTCACTGGTTCACTCCCCAGGTGGCCGCAATGCCTGAGCTGCACCAATCTGAAGCCAGGAGCCTCCTCCAGGTCTCCCATGCCGGTGCAGGGGCCCTAGGATTTGGGCCATCCTCCACTGCTTTCCCAGGCTATAGAAGAGAGCTGGATTGGAAGGGGAGCAGCTGGGTCTTGAATCGGTGCCCATATGTGATGCTGGCACTGCAGGCGGCAGCTTTACCTGCTACACCACAGCGCCGGCTCCTGCTGCACTTCCATTTACCGAACATATCAACATATCAACCTCTTGCCTACCATATTAATTCTCTTAAATTAACTTCTTAATAAACATAAGCTTATTTTTCTCAGATACAGACCTATCTTTTGCTTTGAAGTTTATTTAGAGGCCTTGTTGCAGGTGATTTGTGAAATGAAGGAACACATATCAACGGGATACAAAAACACAGCATTTAAGCTGGAGGCAGAGACTACAGCGGCCGTTCTAGAGCTGCCTTCTCAGAGTCAGCTTCCTCTGACTCCTCAGCAGGTGCATGCCTTGCAGGGGTGAAACGAAGAAAAGGTTTTATCAGTCGCATGGCTGCTTCCCCAGCGGCAGAACAGTACACGAACCAAAGCTTATTGAATGACTATAACGAAACTATAAAACAGAACCCAACTCCCAATCGCAGTCAGAAGAGAGATGAGGGGAAGGAAGGAGGGGATGGAGGGAGAAGATGCCAGTGAAACACGCTAATGACCAAGGGGTGTTTATGGTGTATTCTGCCGAGGTCGCCAGGCCCTCGGGCTCTGTGGTCATTCCTGCCCTTTGAAGTGCTAACCCGTGGCTCTGAGCTCCCAGGCTTCCCTGGGAACGGGATGCAGAGGGATGCAGCGGTGGGAGAAGCCCTCCCCAGGGCTGGCCAAGACCCAGACGGGCACGTCCTGGCAAAGCTTCCACACAGCGATTTGTCTCTCCTGCAGAAAGCCTTACTCCGAGAGAAAGCTACAACAGACTGTAACCTGCCTCTCCCCATCCACTAACATAATCAGTTCACAGGTAGCTCTTCAGGGCACTGTGCTCTTTCCTCCTGGGCACCAAGAGACCATGACCACCGTGGGCGGTTAGTGCAGCCTGCTGGGAACAGGCCGCCGGATAACCCGCAAGGACAGGCTAAGGAGACGGATCATCTCCAACAGTCGCCGTTCTCAGCGGGAGGAGGACACAGGTTCAGGACAGAGGCTCAGGTTTTAAACGGTACAAAATCACAGGCATGGTTCTCCAAACTCTAGAACAACACGCAGAGTCTGCTGAAACAAAGACTGCTGATCCCCGTCCACACTTCTGGTGCAGTGGGGTCTGCGGTGGGGTTGGGGTGGCCAGAGACACACAGAACGCCCAGTCAACATCCGGATTTCAAGTAAACACCACAAATTTTTGGTGTACGTCCATCCCAAATACGACAGACACTTTTTATTTGCTGCATCTGGCAGCCCTAGAACTTGCGTTTCTAACAGATCGGATCTAAGGGTTCTTCCTTTGAGAAGCCCTGAGGCACAGGATATGATCTCACCACGCGTGCTAGAGGGAAGCGAGGAGGTCAGGCGAGGGACCCTGGGGGAGAGGACACGGAAGCATCTTTGAGGATGCCCAGAAGCTGGTCAGCAAGAAAAGGGAAAAAGAGGGGCCCTGAGACAAGCTGTGATGTTTGCAGAAAACTGCAGGCAGCCAAGTGTGGCTGGTTCACAAAGCTCAGTGTAGGTGGTGGTAGCTCAGCCGGGAAGGGCAGAGGCCGAGCGGTGCAGGTGCACGGTGGTGAGCACCGGGGAGCTGATGCTATCAGACTGGGGTGCTGTCACAGGCAGCAATGTCAAGGCTGTGAAGGGAAGCGGGGACTTGGTCAGCTGTGCAGTTTTAGGGAGCTCATCCTGGAGGGGGACCAGAAGTGCTGGGGTTATCCATCCTGGAGTATCTGAAATACGGTTCAGATATTTACAGAAGCCATCTTTATCTAATTCTGCATGAATACAGAAAAGGGAAGGAAATGTAACAGTGGTCGATTCATTATGAAATGCAACAGTGGTCAATTCATTATGAAATGCACAGAAGGTCACTGGTAGTGGCTCTTCCCAGTAAAGAGGGAAAACAGAACACTCTAAATCCTAAAGACATCACATAAGAATGGTATAAAACTCTGTAGCTGTCTAACACAAGATTTTGAAAATTTACTGCCTACATCTGATGTGTAAAATTAAAATAAGATTTAAGAACAGATATTGACATAAAAGTGCTCATGTTACATAAAAAACTATTTTCTCCCCTGTAAGAAGCTTCCTTTCTAGTGCCTGCTTTCTCTTTCAGTTCTTAAACGTGCTTATGTGCCTTTCTACGCGTCGGAAATAAAACCCGTTACAATGAAGATGTCCAGACCCCAGGTTCAGAGAAGGCGAGGTGTGAGCACTCCCAGTGCTGCCCCAGGGGTCAGAGGTCAGAGGTCTCGAGCTGGTCCCCTTTACCTTCAACCTTCCCCAGGGTGCAGGGAGCCAGCACAGATGATCAGAGAAGCAGCGTCCCCTCCCACCCACCTCCAACAGGAGCCCAAGGCATCCTCTGTCTCAGACAATATTCAAGAACACAAATGCGTTGCCTACTGCGTGTGCCAAAGCCATTAAAACATTCTTGGCTCAATCAAGGTCACTTCGGAAGAGCCCTGTTCTTTTTGAGTGTATTTTACTAGGGCAACAAGCGCGAGGTGCCCAAAGGGCTGCCTGGCAGGGACTCTTGTTTTCACCCTGTGCGCTCTCTGCAGGGCACCGAGGCCCAAACAGTCGTGCGGAGGAAGGGCGTAAAAGCCAACCCTCCCTGCGCTTCGTTTTGCCTTATGCAAAGCCGGGAGACCACCAATGACAGCCCAGCACACAGCATCATGCAGTGGCCAGGAAGCAGGCAGCACCCCGAGGCTTCCCGGCAGGAGTCAGGGCCAAGCTTGGCGCTCCACCAAGGCTGGGGGGCCAAGGAGTGGCGTCTAGATAGGCGCTTCATCTCGGCAAACGGCTGCGGTGCCACCGCGCTGGCACGATACCGGGCATGCTGGCAAAGCGCGCAGTGTAGGCCATCTGCAAGGATCCACACCCGCTGCACGCAGGTCCGCCTCCCACCGCGCCTCCCCGGGCAGGGGCCCTACCTGTAATCACAGAGCTTGGGCTGCGTGCCGCACTGGCGCCTGCAGAGCGCACAGGCACTGCACAGGGGCACGTTGCCCCGGATCCAGTGGTGCGGCATGGCGTCGGGCGCCCCGGCGTCACTCTTGAGCACGATCTCCTTGCACGCGAAGCGCCTGTCGGCCTTCCGGAGGCAGGCCTCGTCCACGCGCAGCCCGCAGCAGTCGCAGAAGGCGCCCCGCAGGATGTGCTGCGCGCACACGCAGCAGTAGGTGGGCTGGCCGAACAGGTCGGTGTCGCGCCAGCCGTGTTGGCTCTTGCGGAAGATGTCCCTGCGGTGCAGCTGCCGCCGCGAGCGCTGGCGGCTGCACCACAGGGTGACGGCCACGGGCAGCAGCACGGAGCACAGCGTCCACAGGACCAGCTGGCCGTCCGCGAACAGGCCCTTGGCGGGCGGGCCCGGCGCCGGCCGCCGCTCCCCTTCCATCTTCTCTCCGAGGACGGGTCCACTCGCGAAAGAGACAGGTGGGTCCGCCAGGCCCGGCCCCCTCCCCGCCCTCTTTCCCGCCTCCTGGCGCTGACGCGAGCGCCGTCCGGCCCCGCCCTGCGCACACGGCCACTTGCCGCCTCGCCTCGTCGCCCGCCTGGCCTAGGGAGGGCGCGTCACACCCGCGCGGGCCGCCCTCGCGTCGGGGCTGTGCCCCTCGGCATGGCCGCCCGGGCCCTACTCCACTCCGGGGCTCGCAGCGGCGTTGGGCCCAGGCGCTGCCTCCTCCTCCTCCTCCTCCTCCAGGGCTTGGAGATCCGCGCCTCCGCGCTCCCCACCCCGACTCGCCCTCGGACCCGGCCTGGGATGGGACGCTGGGCCTGCGGCTGGCGCTGGAGCGCTGGGCGGCCGGCTCAGGCCGGGGCCGGGGCCGGGGGCCTGTGGCGGCGAGCCCCCGTGCCTGGCCGGGCCGTGGACAAGCGGAGCGGAGCTAGGAGGGGCGGGACTCTGCGCGGTGGGGGCGGGGCCTAAGGAAGACGGTGGGCGGAGTAACAGTGGAGGCGTTAGAGGGGCCGGATGGTTGCACGCTGCAAATTCGTAACGGAAACTGCTAGTATGGATGATTTACAGTATGACTTGAACTTATCTGGGACCTTGTACCCCCGCTGCGGTGGAGGCAGCAGCTGGTACGGAAGAGAACTGGCAGTTTTGGCAGTGTCATGTATGTATATACTAGAGAGTGGGGTAGTCCCAAGTCCCGGATAAATGTCACCTGCATGCTTGCTGATTGTGAGGGCACTTAGGAAAGTTCCTGGAAAATGGAACGAAAAGATAACGTTGGGTGCACAATGTTTTGAAATGTATGCATTTACGGGGGTCTTCAAAAAAGTTCATGGAAAATGTGTCTTATGAAAGCTACGCGTGGGATTTCAAAAACTTTTTGCATTAAAATAAAAATCTTTCATTCGGAATTTTCAGGAGCTTTCTGAAATGTACTGGTGTTCGTTAAACACATACTGGCTGAACACCTGCTACGTGCCAAGCACTATGCAAGGAATCCCAGCTCTCATGGAGCCCGGGGCCTGCCGGCCATCCTCTGCTGCTTTCCTGGGTGCATTAACAGGGAGCTGGATCAGAAGCAGTGTAGCCAGCACTCAAACAAGTGCTCTGTTTGGGGTGCCAGGGTTGCAGGCAGTGGCTTAACCTGCTGTGCCCCAGCACTGGCCTCAAGGGATCCTACACAACCTTTTTTTTTTTTTTTTTTAAGATTTATTTATTTATTTGAAAGAGTTACACAGAGAGAAAGAGAAAGAGAGAGAGAGAGAGAGAGAAGGGTATCTTCCATCCGCTGGTTTACTCCCCAATTGGCTGCAACAGCTGGAGCTGTGACAATCCGAAGCCAGGAGCCAGGAGCTTCTTCTGGGTCTCCCATGTGGGTGCAGGGGCCCAAGGACTTGGGCCATCTTCCACTGCTTTCTCAGGCCACAGCAGAGAGCTGGATTGGAAATGGAGCAGCCAAGACTCAAACTGGCACCCATATGGGATGCTGGCATGGCAGGCGGTGGCTTTACCTGCTACACCACAGTGCTGGCCCCCTAAATAACCTTTTACCTGCTAGTTCAAACACCTCTATGTGCACACTTTTGTCATCTGGTAAATTGACTCATCTTTGGTTGACATTCTGAAGCGTACCACACACAGAAGAGGTTCTAAAACATGCACCATTGAAAATAATAATAAGAGACATCTGTGTGCCCTCTGCCCAGCCTAATATAGTGACCCTCAGGGGACTCCCACGTGCCTGCCTGATGGCCAGCCCTCCCACCCTCCATCAGAGGATACTGCTATCCTGGTCTACGCCGGCTTCATTTCCTTGCTTTGCTCTGCAGGTTAGCCACGCTGCAAAGTATCCCTAGACAATGCAGGTTTGTTTCAGAAGACTGAACAGCAAGCCCAAGTCTCGCCCTGTTTGTGACGCTTCCAGGAGGAGACAAGCTGACAGTGTCCTTGAGACAGAACCTGGATTTAGCTCCCCTGAGAAGACGCCACGTGGGAAGGCCATGGGCAGGGTCTTGGGAAGATGGTGAGTCCATGAGGGGCCTCCTGGGCAGCCTGGGGTCTGAGACCTGGTGAATGCGTGGCTGCAGAGGGAAGGGGTAGGTGTCTCCTCCCTTGTCTCAGCTCATCAGGGCCTCCCTCGGGTTCTCAGAGGCAGGTTATCATGGATGCCTTCCCAGGGAGGGAGGGATGTCTGACGCGGGCTCTAGCGTGTGGGAGAGGGGAATGGGTGAGCAGGGATCTCATCGGCTTGAGACCCTCAAAACTAAGTACAGCCGCGTCCCACATCAGAGCACCTGGGTTCGATTCCCGGCTCTGGCTCCTCACCCCAGTGTCCTGATGATGCACTCACTCCAGCATCCTGATAAGGCAGGTGGTGGCTGAAGTCCTTGGGTCCCTGCCACCTGTGTTCCCAGCTCCTGGCTCTACCCCAGCTCAGGCCTTTGTGGACATCTGGGGAGTGCCCATGAGATGGGAGCTCTGTGTCTTTCTGCCTCTCAAATTTAAAAAACAAAACAAAACAGCAAAACACCAAAAATGCAAGCACACATCTGTAGCAGGCTTATCCGGCAATGTGAACCCAGCCTGGCTTCTTCCATGTAGCCGTACACATGCAAGGGCCTCTATGTGTCCTCATGGCTCTGTTTACTGCCGCATCACAGTCCTTTGTCTGGATGGACCAGAGCTTATCAATGCATTCACCTCTAGAGGAACATCTTGGTTGCCCCCAAGTTTTGGCGATTAATGATCAATAATACCTGTATGCAGGTTTTCACGAGGACATGAATTTCAACTCATTTGGGTAAAAGTCCTCTCATTTAAAAAATTTGTATTTATTTATTTTCACTTACTTGAAAAGGAGAGAGAGAGAGGAAAAGAGAGAGAGAGAGAGAGAGAGATTGGTCTTCTGTTTGCCGGTTCACTCCCCAAATGCCCGTAACAGCTGGGAGTAGGCCAGGTTGAAGCCAGGAACATGGAACTCAATGCAAGTCTCCCATGTGGGTGGCAGCGACCTAAGTACTTGAGCCATCACTACTGCCTAAGAGGATGTGAAGGAGCAGGAAGCTGGAGTGGCCAGGACTCGAACCAGGCACTCGGATGCAGGATGCGGGTGTCCCATGTGGCCGCTTATCCACTGTGCCACAACACCTGCTCCTCTCTTTTTAATCTTTTTTTTCTCCCTATTTAAAAAAATCTCATTTTTGTTCTATTTTTTAAAAAACATTTCCTTGGTCTTATCCTTGACTCCTTATTGGGTTTTTAATTTCTGCTGCTCTGTTTTTTACTCTCTAATAATTTGTTTTCTGAATATTTATTTTTTACAACATTCTTTTCACATTTCATAGAAGCAAAAGTTTTCTCTCCCAGAGGATATTAGTGCTATTTATTTTCTCTCTTTGCATGGCCTTGGATTGTTCCAGGTTGAATTTTGCATGCCAGAGGTGTCCTCGGATTCAGATGTCTATGAGACTGCAGGTGATTCTTACACACCGTGAGGTTTGTGAATCACTGCTAGAGTTTCCTGTGTTTTTTTTTTTTTTTTTTTAAATTATTTAAAACTCAGAGGGGAACAGAGAGAGAGAGAGAGAGACAGACAGACAGAGACAGAGAGATATCTTTCATCTACTGGTTCATTCTCCAAATGGCTGCAATGGGCAGGGCTGGGCCAAGCTGAAACCAGGAGCTCCATCCAGGTCTCCCATGTGGGTTCAGGGGCCCAAGGACTCAGGCCATTTTCCACTGCTTTTCCAGGTGTGTTAACTGGGAGCTGGATTGGAGGTGGAGCAGCTGGGACTTGAACCGGCGCCTATATGGGAGCAAAAGGAAGCGAGCGAGAGCTCTTCCCTGTGCTGGTTCAAAAGGCTGGGGCAGGTAGAAGCCAGGCTTGAGAAACTCCATCTGGGTCTCCCATGTGGGTGCCAGGGAGCCATGCACTTGAGCCATCACTTGCTGCCCCCTGGGGTGCATGTTAGCAGGAAGCTGGAATCGGAAGCAGCGCTGGGACACAGCCTGGGCACTCTGATGTGAGAGGCAGGTGTCTCAAGTGGCAGCTTGACCTCTGTGCCACACCCTACCCCTAGAGAGTCCCGTCGCTGGGTCTTTGTCTTTGCAACTAAGACCTCACAGAGAAAAACAAGCTTCGTTTCAGTATGTTTTTCCTTAGATGAACTAGAACTTCTCTTTTCCTGAAGGAGATGTAATATGACAGTAGCCTTAGAAGTGGCTTTACGAATTATTCCGTACGTGCTGCGCTCCCCTCGTGTGTTTATTTGTACCCATCTTACATTCCCATGCCTCTGCCAACGCTTCTGCCCTGCAGTTTAGGTTGGAGGCAAGCCTGGCCCTGGCCACAGGGAACCTGACGCCGACCTTGGCTGTCTTCACCTGCTGGGCAGACTGTACTTGAGGCCAATGTCTTAGACACAGAGCAGGGATTGTGGTCCACTTGTGGGAGCGTGCAGCAGGCCGGAAAGGCCCCTGTCCACCGCCAAACATCTTGCCATTGTATTGCTGCTCCAAACAGGAAGGGGGCGTGTGTGTGGAAGTGCTGAGGAGGTACACAGGGAAGCCAGGGCCGTGGGGTGCAGAGACAGAGATCAACTCAGAGAACAAAGGAGCCATATTTTTCTTCCTAATAAAAATGCACTTTCTTTTACCCCCAATAATACATAAAGTGATATATCTTTGTATGTTTGTGATTGAGCTCCGAATTTTGGTTTTCACAGATGATCCTGTGTCTGAGAGGGGGATGAGTGTACAGATCTGGCCATGCCCTGCTCAGGGATAGACCACGTACACCACGGTGGTCCCGTGGATTATGTTGCCTGGCGATGTCATAGCCCTGGTGATTGGCGTCGGTGACACTTTGTGACATTCTCACAATGACAGAGTTACCTAACGATACAGTTCTGAGTGTAACTCAGACGTGTGACTGCATTACTGCAGGTGAGTGTGGTTGGGGGAGGTGTGGGAGTAATAATAATAATAATGATAATAAGGCTGGCGCCGCGGCTCACTAGGCTAATCCTCCGCCTGCAGCACTGGTACCCTGGGTTCTAGTCCCAGTTGGGGTGTCAATTCTGTCCCGGTTGCTCCTCCTCCAGTCCAGCTCTCTGCTGTGGCCCAGGAAGGCAGTGGAGGATGGCCCAAGTGCTTGGGCCCTGCACCCGCATGGGAGACCAGGAGGAAGCACCTGGCTCCTGGCTTCAGATCAGCGCAGTGCACCGGCTGCAGCGGCCATTGCGGGGTGAACCAATGGAAAAAGGGAGACCTTTCTCTCTGTCTCTCTGTCTCTCACTAACTGTGCCTGTCAAAAAAAAAAAAAAAATGCTTTCCTATATTACACTCCCATCTGTCAAACGTCTTGCTTCCGCGGTTGTCCGAATCCACTATCTGCGCCACATTGATTTGGGGACCGGATGTGGGTATTGAAACCCCAGGGTGCTCCAGTCCCTTTCTGAAGTGGGGTAATGTGTATCACCCGTGCACACTCCCACATGCTCTGAGTCATCCCTGCATTATTCAGAATACCTAAGACAGTGTACCTGCTGTGCAGATCCTTGGGATAGGGTATTTAGGGAATTACAGCAAGAAAATAAGTCTGTATGTGCTCAGTACAGGTGCGATTTTTTTTTCCCAAATATTTTCAATCCATGTTGGTGAAATCCCTGGATGTGGGACTCGTGGATTCCCAGCCCTGATGCACTGTCTCTTTTAAGTCGTAGAAGAGCCTTAGGAGGAAAGACTATTATCATGTTTTGAATAAATGAGAAAACAGTAACTTGGAAAGTTAAGAAATTTGCCTGAAGTCACACAGGTAGTAAGTTACAGAGCCAGGATTCGAGCCCAGGCCTGTTGAGTCTTGTGCTTCGATAACCACACTTCTAACCATCACACCACACTGCCCACACAGGAGCAGTAGCTATCTGTTGCCTTTTGCATGCGTATTCTGGCACGGCCCTATTTTTGACTTAGATCTGGTAGCACCTGATTTGGACACACTACCCGTCCAGTTAAAACCCCCTGCATCAGTTAGCTGTGGTCTGGGTCCTGCTGTATAACAAGCCACGCCCAGCCTGGGCCCCATATCTATAACACGGGGGACTCCATAGTGTTGGCTCTATCAGTGATCCTCAAATATCTGTGTCCTTTGCAAATCCCATTGAAAAAGAGATGGGAAACTCACAAAAAAGGAGATATTAGTTATGTTAGAGTGCTGTGACTATGTGTGCCATCATTCTTCCTTTCTCAAATGTCAGATCAGCAACATAGCTTTCTCAGGCCTCACTGTCTGATGAAGACATCAGTTAACATAGCAGGGACGTGCTCTCCTGCACTACCGCATCGTCTCTCTCTACCACCAGCGCGGTCCCTAGGATGCCTGGCAGCTTCTTCAAGAGTTAGTTGCCAGACTGGAGTTTCTGTCCCCTGACCTTGGCTGACCCAGTTCTGCTCTCTACTCTGCCACCTTGTGGATTTGTTGGGAATCGCACCTTCCGCGGAGCATCCAGGTGACTCACCTAGTTACCTGGCTGTGGCTTTCAACGGGACTGGGGGTAGCAGGTAGAAGAGAATTCTCCCCAACAGGGTAACACTTGCTCTCCATCTTTTTTTTAAAAGAAGTTTTATTTTACTTACTTGAAAGGCAGAGTTACAGATAGAGAAGGAGAGACAGAGATCTTTCATCTGCTGGTTCACTCCCCAAACAGGCACACTGGCCAGGACTGGGCTAGGCCAAAGCCAAGAGTTTCATTCAGGTCTCCCACATGGATACAGGGGCCCAAGGACTTCTGATCCATCTTCTGTTGCTTTCCCAGACACATCAGCAGGGAGCTGGATCAGAAGTAGAGCATCTGGGACTTGAACTGGTATCCGTTTGGGATGCTGGTGTCACAGGTGGGGTGGCAGCTTTACCTGCTGTGTCACAGCACCGGCCACCTCTCTGTCTTCCTATAGACTCTGACCCCCAACCTCTGCAGTTTTGGGACAATATTCCCAGAGGCCAAGGTGAAGGACATTGAGTGGCCTTCCTGGTATCACCTGAAGGACACTTTCCACCACCTGAGACTTGGCACCTGCAACCCAGGGTATAGTCCAGATTCTCTCTCCAGTGTCACCTCCATAGGTCCCCTGTGCTTTTCAAAAAATTGTAAAGGTGATGCCGGCGCCTTGGCTCACTAGGCTAATCCTCCACCTTGTGGCGCCGGCACACTGGGTTCTAGTCCCTGTCGGGGTGCCGGATTCTGTCCCGGTTGTCCCTCTTCCAGGCCAGCTCTCTGCTGTGACCAGGGAGTGCAATGGAGGATGGCCCAAGTGCTTGGGCCCTGCACCCCATGGAAGACCAGGATAAGTACCTGGCTCCTGCCTTCGGATCAGCGCGGTGCGCCGGCCGCAGCGCACCGGCCGCGGCGGCCATTGGAGGGTGAACCAACGGCAAAAGGAAGACCTTTCTCTCTGTCTCTCTCTCTCTCACTGTTCACTCTGCCTGTCAAAAAGAAAAAAAAGTTGTAAAGGTTATGTGAGCATACTTAGAGTTTATAGTCCAGTGGAGGGGCTAGATTTTTAAAAAGTAAACAAATTCATGCAGTATTTATCCATGATAGTGAGAGCTGTGACATGGATAGTGATGGTGGTGGGATAGGGAACTTATAAGTAGGATGGTAAGGGAAGGCTGGCCTGAGCAGCAGAAATTTCAAAATGAAAACTGAAGAATGAGAAGGATCTAGGATTAAAAGAGCATGTGCAGAGGCTGGCACTGTGGCATAGTGGATAAAGCCGCTGCCTGCAGTGCCAACGTCCCATATGGGCGCTGGTTCAAGTCCTGTACCTTCTTTCTCTCTCTCTCTCTCTCTCTGCCTCTCTGTAACTCTGCCTTTCAAATAAATAAATAAAACTTTTTATAAAAAAAGAGCATGTACAAAGCTCCTGAGGTGGGAACAAGCTTGTGAAGGTGAAAGTAGTTGTGTGCAACTGGTTTGCAGTGACCTTAGAGGGGTGGCTGGAGAGAGCCGTGGGCTCAGATGAGCCAGGGTTGGTAGTACGTGGCAGGGACTCGGCTTTTGTTCTGAGTCTGGTGGGAAAATAATGAAGGTTCTTAAGCAGGGAAAGAACAAGGCCCAACTTGTGTTTCCTGTTTCTGTTTTACAAAAATCCTTGCTGCTGCATGCAGAATGGATTGAAGCAAAGGGAAAGGAAGCTGGGAGACGGGGCGGGAGCCTGGTGCAGGGAGCTGAGTGAAGGATAATGGAGGCATTGACTCAGGCTCTGGACCCCTGCTGTCCACCTGGCAGGCACCAGCCATCTGCGAGCTCTGGGACCCTGTGAAGGTAAAAGGCACAGCAGATTCTGATGGCTTTACAAAAAAAGAGGGTTAATCATTTGCTTGTGTTGGTCCCCAACTGTCCAATCCCTGCCTATGGGGTTGAGAGGCAGGCGAGGGTGGTGGGATACATGAGTTGTGCAGGGCCAGTGCTGCGGCTCAATAGGCTAATCCTCCGCCTGCGGCACTGGCACTCCGGGTTCTAGTCCTGGTTGGGGCGCCGGATTCTGTCCGGTTGCTCCTCTTCCAGTCCAGCAGTCTGCACCTGCATGGGAGACCAGGAGGAGGCACCTGGCTCCTGGCTTCAGATTGGCGCAGCGTGCCGGCCATAGCAGCCATTTGGGGGGTGAACCAACGGAAGGAAGACTTTTCTCTCTCTTTCTCTCTCTCTCTCACTGTCTAACTCTGCCTGTCCAAAAAACAAACAAACAAACAAAAAACCTACAGGACAACAGAAGACTATTCACAGGCACAGAGTACGTGAAATCAGACACCAAGCTCTGAGTAAATTCACACTGGGGGCACCTTTGCTCACAAAGCATGATTTTTTCCCCTTGTTTACAGTCTGCTCAAAATATCTTTGTTCCCACGCCGTGGGGCCATGGGCAGAACATCTAGAGTTGGTATCAGCTACACAACATTAGCACAAACCCAGACCACCCCGGCCCCAGTCTTGTTTTCTTCTGAGCTGGCAAAGTGGCCACAGGAACACCAGGTCAGTTTCTTTGATTAGAGAATTTTATCCAAGTATGGGCCACATACCTTCCGGTTTTGGGTCTGTGTGGAGGCCGCCGGCAGCCTGCTGTGTGGGGCCCGGCAGGAGGTGGAGGAGGCTCAGGCCCAGCACTTTGCTTGTTTGTGGAGTGGAGGTGGCTCTGGTGGGTAGGACCGGCTGCCACGAGGCTCCCTTCTCACAGGGGACAAAGCTGAAGTTCACAAGGGTCAGCGGCTCACCTGAGGTTGCGTTGCCGGCAAGAGCGGAAGCCACAGTTTAAACTCTGGTTTTCCTCGCTCCCAAAGTCAGCTGAGAAAAATAAAAAGTTTTTTCTCTTTCATCACGCTCCTTGCTGATTTCTCTGCCTCCCCCTGAGATTTTCGGGAGGCTCGGATCAGATGGGTGAAGGGGCTTCGTTAAAGTGTCATAAAGTAAGCAAATATAAGAGATGACTGTCAGTGGAGCAGGTCCGTCCTCCTACGCTGTGTTGAAATGAAGTGACTGTTAGAGTTCAAGTTTGTGATCATCAAAGCAACACCATCTTATTACTATAACACCTTACTCAAGGAGCTCTACCTAGGGATCGGGCTCAGCCGCCTCATTGTCCGAGTAGCTTCCAACAACAATTCTGCACTTGATTTAGGGTATTGAGGATTAAAAAAACAACTCTCAAGAAAATATGTTTTTAAAAAAATGTCTTGGGTTCAAGCTCTGCAAGTCGAATTCACCGAGGGTAATGTCCTTCCTCAGGGTGGAAATTCACAGGAATTCGGAGGGAAATATTTTAGCGGTCATTATTGGAACTCCTAGTCAGATCCACTCAGCATCACCCCGGAGTCCTCCTGGCGGAAGCCCGCGCTGGCCCTGAGCCTGCCGTGCCTCCTTCAAATAGGCTGGTGCACCCGGGCTGGGAGAGCTCACTCAGCGACGGCGCACACAGGAAGTCGTGCAGGATGAAGATGTTTCTGCTCCTCATCATCACCGGGCTGATTTTCTGCTCAGGTGAGCGCCTGCTCCCAACCCAGTGCTGGTGGGAAGAACCGGGCTGGTACTCTAGATGTCTTTTTTTTTTTTTTTTTTCAAATAATGTACATAGATATTTCAGTGATTTTTTTTTCCTTTGCTGTTCATAGAGCAGGTTTCTAGAACTGCTATTATTAGAGATAAGTTATTTTTTAAAAAATGCGTAAAGATAATTGAGCGCTAGTTCTTAAAAATGCTGATAAAATCTTCAAACCATACAAAGGGACTTTTGTGGAAAATGACGTTTAAAAGATAAGTTTCTTTTTGTGCAAAAATTTCTGAAATCCATGCATAGTCTTTTCATAATATGCATTTTCCAATAACTTTTTGAAGACCCTGTTCTTCACAGATTCTGAAACTTTTTGCACCAAAAATAGGCTTTTTTTAAAAAAAATTTAGAGTAAAACGTGATGTCTCCATAGAGGCATGCATTGTGCCATGATGAAGGCAAAGTAATTCAAATACTTTCAAATACTTATTATTTCTCTGCAATGAGAACATTTAAGATCTTTTAGACATCCTGACATAAATACATTATGGCAGCTATAGACTTGGCTTTTCATTCTGTTTTTCCGTGAACTTTTTGAAGTACCCTCATCCCTTTCTTTAGAGCTCATGAGATCCCCCAGATCTGATATACTTGTGTTACGATATCTTTCACAGTTGGAATGGGTGATTATCAAAGTAGTACAGTTGTATTAGCATAATACCTTGTTTGAGGAGCTTCCTCTGATGGTCAAGTTTGGCACAATCTTATCGTCATGGGCTGCTTTCAATAGCTCTAAACTGGATTTTGTCTGTTGAGGATTAAAAAAAAAAAGCCTCCCTCAGGCAAAAGCAGGGGACGGAAAGCAGACTAGAGACCTGCAGAAATTAGGCTGGAGCGGATTCGTTCAGTTAACCCCAGCTTTGCAACGAGCAGGGCATTGCAGGAAGTAAATGGGTTTCAGTCCTGTAGCTTTGTCTCAGGCTTCACTCTAGGAGAAGCCACTGAAATTCCTTGCAGAGCCGCCCAGAATCCCATGCTTTCTGGGCCGGGCCCTTGGTCAAGAACGGCTATGTTTTAGCTCAGGTTGAGCCTTTGCAACCTTTGAACTGGCTGGGGTGGGGTGGGGGGAGGGGAGGAGGGCGTGGACCCGCGGACCCGCCCCCGGCCAGCAAGCCCTGAAGGACCCTGCACCAACTCTTTCAGAGGCCTCCCCGCTGCTCCTGACGGAAAAGCAGGCGAAGCAGCTCCTGAGATCCCGGAGGCAGGAGCGGCCCCGCAAAGCTGGCTTCCGTGATGAGCCCATGCGCGTGAGTGCCCGGCCCTGGCGGTCCCGGAGGAAACGCGATCATGATCGTTTGAATGCGGGTTTGGTGGGAAGCTAAGCCAGGGAGGCACTGGTCGCAGTGAGGGTTGCTAGTTGGGGGTGGGGTGGGGAAGGTTGGTTAAAGTTTCAGGTGCAAGAAACATGCAAACCACCTGCACATCCAACTGTTGTGAACAGCCATTGGCTGTGTCCCAGGACACTGCTACGGGTCAACCTGAGCTGCTGCTGGGCGCTGTCCCTTCAGCCGATGCCAGCTCCCACCTTCTCCCTCCCCTACGGGGCCCCGACAGGCTGGACCAGCATCCTTGGCCAACAGCAGCTGGTTCCCCACAGCCTGTGAGGTTCGGCCACCATCTCGGCCCTCTTTGGCATCAGCTCTGCCCTGCGGGTCCCTGGTGATCACCTTCCTGGTCTTTCTGAACCAGGGAACCCCCTCCTGCCCTTTCTTGCAAGTTTCCTGGACACTGTAGACCCTGGCATGCTGGGCCTGGATTTGGTTCAAAGCCGGCTCGGCTCCTCCTGCGGCTGGAGCGGTCCAGACTTTCAAGTGTTTTGGCTCCACGCAGGTGGAGGTGAGGGGCAATGACCCAGCTGAGTCCGGATGTCTGGGAAGGTCTCCCTCCCTGTGCCTCCCCAGGGGGCACCGGCTCATCCTCATTTACCTCCACTCCCTGAAGAATCATGTGCTTTGTTTATGTCATTGAAAAGGCTCTTACTAAGGGTAGGCATTTGGCACAGCTTAAGTTGCTGCTTGGGACAACTGCATCCCATGTTGGAGTGCCGGGTTCAAGTCCTGGCTCCTCTGCTTCTGATTTAGCTCCCTGTTAATAATGCCCCTGGGAGGCAGCAGATGATGGCTCAAGGACTCGAGTCCCTGCCACCCATGTGGGAGACCCAGATGGAGTTCTGGGATCCTGGCTTTGGTCTGGCCCAGCCCTGCTTGATGGGAGAGTGAACCAGCAGCTGGAAGATCTCTCTCTACCTTTCAAATAAAATGAAAAACAAATAAAAAATTTCAAAGGGCTCTTATTAAGAATGTGATATTTCTCACTGATGGTGAGTGCTGGCTCTCGGGTCAGATTGGGTCTGAATCTCCCCAGTTTCTAATTGTGTTACCTTAGGGATGTTTCATTGTATTCTGAAACTCTGTATTCTCACCTGTGACATAGGGATGGTAAGTATTATTACTTATATTATCATGATAGTATTATAAACAATAATGTAAAGTAAGTATTTTAAGAAAGGCACGATAAGGTAGCACAGAGCAGAGCCCTTGGGGCAGAGCTCAGCCAGTGGTAATGCCACCTCGGAGAGTGCCGTAGCAGGGGCCAGGCGAGATGCTGAGGCTGTGCAGGGTCATCTCCTGGGTTTCTGCTCAGTCCCTGGTGAAGGTGGGAAGGAAGCTCATGGCTGTGCTTCAGAGTGACATAAAATGTCAAGGACTTCAGGCTGTTGAGTGGGTGTGGCTTGTGATATTTTGGCAGAAGAAATAATAAGTGTCCCAGAATATCCTGGTGCAGGGGGAGGAGTCTGGGAGGTCAGCCGGGGCAGCATCCCAAAGGATTTGAGTACCCTGGACTTTGTTTCGTGTTGATTCCTGCACAATTAAAGGACTTTTCAAACAAGGGAATACAGATCCGGGCTTTGGGCAGGTGGCCTGGGAAGCAATGAAAAGAGCAGAGATCCAGGAGTGAAGTTGGAGGACAGCCATGCTCAGAGGCGGGCATGGGGGGCTGGCAGAGGATGCAGACAGGATAGAGGGAAGAGGTGGATGGTGGGGTGAGGGAGGGTTTGCTGTGAGCACAGGAGGATGGGGAAGAACGTGCCTGGAGAGGGGGGTCCTGGGGGTCCCTCCAGATGGCTTTTCTTGTGATGTCTGCAGGGGCCCGGGAGCCAGGGAGGCTGAAGAAACCTGGGTAAAGGGCCTCCGAGGAGGGTACACCTGCTGCAGGTGCTGGGAGACAGGCTCTCCGGCTCGGCCCCTTGACAGCTCCTCTGCCAGCACCTGGCTGCTTTGGACTTGGATTGTGGACTAACGGAGGGTTTGTACCACTGTGGCTGCGCCTGCTGCCTCCAGGCCCCTCCCAGCACCTGCGGCTGTGCCAGTTGTCACTCTGCTGACTTGTGCCCTGGAGCCCTGCTGCAGGTGGTCCTTTTCCTGCTCAGAACCCACCCCCCAGAACTGCTTCTCCCAGCTCGTGGTCCTCACCTCCCTTAGTCCTCAACAACCTCCCACTGGCTCCCAGCTCCATAGTTTTACCGAATACCTGGCCCTTTTCTCATCTGCTTGGCTCATCTGTACAGGTCTGACCACTGCCTGCTCTACTTAGGTGCCTTGGCCTTGCCCGATCTAAGTCCTCTATGACCCCTTCCTGCCTTAGAATCTTCCTGTGGTCCCAGCACCATCTCCCAGCCAGCCCTGGGTGCACCCCAGCTCAGCATGTCCCCTCCCTCCCCCAGACATTTGACTCCACTGTCCAAAATCCTCACGCCTTCTGTCCTGGTGGAACCACCTGGAGAATCTGGTGCCTGGGGTCCCATTCCCAGAGGAGTGGGCCGGGGTGTGTGTGTGTGTGTGCGTGTATGTGTGTGTGCGTGTGTGTTAAGGTTGGGGAGGGGGACACAGTTAAAGCTCCCTGGTGGTTACCGAGGTGCAGCGGGGGCTGAGACCCACTGGGCAAGGCCTTCTGGGGGAATTCAGCCACGTGTGGTACCAGCTCCTGTGGTTTCGCTGGGAACTCCGAGGCATTTTGACAACAGTTTGATGTTGAACCAATGTCATGGAGAGTAAGAATCTATTGTTTAAGGCCGGCGCTGCGGCTCACTAGGCTAATCCTCCGCCTAGCGGCGCCGGCACACTGGGTTCTAGTCCTGGTCGGGGCGCCGGATTCTGTCCTGGTTGCCCCTCTTCCAGGCCAGCTCTCTGCTGTGGCCAGGGAGTGCAGTGGAGGATGGCACAAGTGCTTGGGCCCTGCACCCCATGGGAGACCAGGAGAAGCACCTGGCTCCTGCCTTCGGATCAGCGCAATGCACCGGCTGCAGCGCGCCAGCTGTGGAGGCCATTGGAGGGTGAACCAACAGCAAAGGAAGACCTTTCTCTCTGTCTCTCTCACACTGTTCACTCTGCCTGTCAAAAAAAAAAAAAAAAAAAAAAAAAAAAAGAATCTATTGAGACGGAGGGCATGTGAGTGAGTGTCAGGTGCAGGGTACAGATCAAGATGTGCACTTAAGTAAATTTCACATTGACTGTGCCCCCCAAGCCCCAGAGACCGAGGATGGAAGAGGAGCTAGGCATCCCTCCTTTATCTCAAGTGCCTGTTGGAGGAGATGGAGCCGGCGTGTGCCAGTGGGTCTCAAGTCCTCTAACGAGAACATTTGGGACTAAGGCCTCTGGGCTCTAACAGGAGAGAGATGAGGGCCTTGAACTCTTACTGAAAGGAAGAGGGAGGCTGGGAAGGCTTCCTAGAGGAGGTGTCCACCCAGCTGAGGTTTGAGGCCTGAGGAGTTCTCAGGCAGTGGAAAGGGTGGAGGTGAGGTGGGCAGAACATTCGACCCTGGGCAATTCACGTCAATATTGTATCACCAACTAGTATGGACTCTATTTCCTATTTTGGAGTCAAGTTCCTCATTTATAAAATGCAGTATTTGGCCCAGAATCTGGACTAGAAGTTTCATATTCCAGGATTCTGGATAGGGCTTTGGCGGTGACACAGGTTTCCTGGTGTTGCAGCTGGAGGAAGAGCCTCAGGCAGCAGGGCACCTACCTGGGGGAGGAGCCAGGTGGTCTATTTAAGGCCTCTGGAGTAGGAAGTAGGAAGTCAGCACCCAGGATGCACTGGGTCACCTGTGCTCCCCACCCGCCTTGGGTCTCATTGTTTTCTTTTCCTTTTTATGGATTTGCTTAAAGCAAAATTAATAATAGCAAGGCTGATGTGGGAGAAGAGGTGATTTATTCTTTGCAGCTGACCATCCAGATCATCCTAGCCGAGCACTCCCAGTTGAGTCTGAGCATAAGACACGGGAGCCGTGGATTTGTCAGTACATTGTGAGGGGCTGTGCGGCTGGACCTGTGGCCTGCAGAGGTCAAGGGCTTCCCCACGGGCTCGCATCTCCGCAGCACAGAAATGAAGGAGCCAAGAGTCTCAGGACCCTTGATTCCTGGAGAAGGACACTGTCCTGCTCTTCCCCTTCAGCCAAGGCCACCTCGCACCTGCCTCTTTCCTAACATAGGCCAGGAGCCATCTGCGTATGGGCAGCCCCTTTGCCAGGGAGCAGGGTGGGATGGGTGCATCATCCTGTGTGTTTGAGATTGCCAACATCGTGTGTCTAAGAGTGTGTGTATGTGAGGGTGTGCGTTTTGAAAAAGGCTTTGCAGAAGGTCTGGCTCCCACCCTTGACCTTGACCTGAGTTCTTGGGCTATCTGGAGTGTGGGAGATGGCCAGTGGAAGGTTGTCCTGGAACAGGCTGGCAGGTCCTTGGCTGTCACAGCAGGGAAGCACTCAGGGATCATAGCAGGGGGACAGGGGGATGCTGTGATTGGATCTGGTTCACAAGGGTTGTTTATCAGGACACGGAGCCTCCTAAATGCTGGCTTCCAGACGCTGCCCTCCGTGGGAAATGGGAAGTGGCATTTTTGGATGTGTGGTTGCACTTCCTTGCCATGGTGTCCGAGTGAATAGCAGGTGGACGTTGGCAGATGAGTGATGTTTGTGATTTTTGGGGAATGTGTGTGCCCTTGGGAACTGAGCCCTGAGACTCGTGTGCTCACTGCCAACTCTAAGTTACCGAGAGCTGACAGGCGAGGTTATTTGATTTGGCTTCTCCCTTCTCAGGGACTGTGCAAAAGCAAACCCTTTCAAGAGGTCATTGGTGAGGGCCAATGCACAGTGCTTCGGGGAGGCGTTAACTCAACATGAAAGCAAGTTCAAAGATTTGCTGTTATCTCTCCCCACGGAGATCTGTGAAGCAGTTTATAATCGACA